GGTGCAATAAATCCAGGAATTTTGCCTATAAATTCAGAGCACTGTGCCGTGGCGACTTTCAAATTTTCAAGATCCTTTTTTATTGGCGATTCAGAAAGAGTAGATGACTTGACTTCCTGTTCCGAAACACGACGGTCGAGATCTTTAACCGACGCACACAAGCTTTCAACCTTATCCATAAGGCGATCCATAATTCCATACATTTTATCGACCAATTTTTGGTTTGCCATATCGACATATTTGATAATGTGCTCGGTTTCGCCTTGAAAAGTTGCAGGGCACGACGTGTCCGACTGAGACATGATGAAAGAGTGATAGGCTTAGATTCCAAACACCAGCAGAAGACGACACGAAACGTAAACACGACACTTAAGAGGCACTGGACACTTGTAGAAATCTTGCGACTGCGCGTTTAAGACTTCCTCAGATTTTCAGTGATTCAGAAAACTAACCTTCAAAGTCGAACTCGATGGAGAAATGATAATAATTCTAATTGCAGGGTCAAAGATGCAACAAAACACCTGATGCATCCGGAACCTTGCAATATTGAGCGTGCAAGACCTGCAAAACAAAAGCGCCACAAGGGCAGAAAGCAGCAGAAAAATAGCCTTAAAGAGGAGCAAGCGTGAGATGTGTGTGGCTACGTACCCAGAGAGAGAGAGAGAGGGTGAGAACTCGTGCGACCGCGCGCCGACAATTTTCTTATACGCACTCAAGCGGGGGTGGGGAACTTTAATTTATTTATTATATAAAACGCGTTGAATTAATCGCGCGCCCCGCGTGGTTATACGCGAATGTATACTATGTATACAGCAAGTATGTAATAAGCCCCGACGCGTCTCCGTCCGACTCACGCTTGGCTAAACTCTTACTTTTTTTCTCCGTACATCAAGATCTCAACCGGAGATGATTCATGCAGTGCGCGCGATGCATGGAGCGCGCGCGCGAGGTTTTGCCACAGATTTCGCGTATCGATAAGTGTATATGCATACGCGCGGCTCGAAAAGAGGATACGCGCGTGCGAGATTTTTTTTCATTTATAAAGACCCCCTGATATATCCGGCAAAATGACGAAAAGAAATTAATGTGAATTCACCTGCTGCCACCGGTGCTGATGTTATACAAATGTGAAAAATTAATTAAGCTGAGCGCAGCGAAGTCGTATCATGGCCAGTTCGCCTAATTTTCGTGTGTTGGCGGTCGTACGATAACTTGAAATCTTTTTATACAATGGCTTTGAAATTTTAGGGGTATATTCTTTGGGACTGGGATTAGTTTATTATTTATAGCATTCTTATGCACTTTTTATGCAATTTTTAGAAATTTGATAATTTTCCGTCTTTGGACAATGGATTTTTTTATATATTGATACTGAGTCATTATTTTTTTTTATCGCGTCGTATCGTGTTACCTCGCAACTTAATGCATTTATAAATGGAATTTTTACGAACTTTTTAAAATTTTCAATAATTTTTCAAGTTTTGTTAACAGATGCGAAAAAAATCCGTTAAATTTGTATTCATGCAAGGTCGAAATTGTCGACCTCGATTTCTTAGATTTAAATGTTATATAAAGTACTATTATGCATCACTGGATAGATTTTTATAATTACTTGAGTTCCAAAATGTAAATTCATTATATATTTAAGATAAGATTACAAGTAGAAAATATTATCTCGCACCGACATAAATTTTGATACGATTTTGAACTTGACTATTCATTGACTTTATTTATTTATAAATTTTCTTTTGATGTCAACATTCGTTTTCCACGGCTTACCCAAGAAAGTCTGACAAATTATTAGTTATTATTAACTCATACAAATTGTGAAACGGTATAGTGTTATAAAGTGTAAACGCTACAAAATTTTGTTTTTTTTTTTTGAGAAAAAAATTTATTCATGTCATTTTTGTGTACATTTATTTTATTCTCACGGGGCTTCAATGGATAACTGCCAGCAAACTTATTCATATTGCATGTACTGCTTAGACATGTTTCCATCTGATACTCTCGAGCATCATATGCACAACGACTGCGTGGGGTACAGGTTGGCAATGGAAACAAACTTACCACCCCCTTGGATTCCCTCCCAGGTCAATAACATTGACAATCAGACACCACATGGTGTAAGTTTAGGTACTGGATCGAATTTTGAAGAAGGACAAAATGAAAATGTTAGTTACATACAAAACATTATCATGGACAGCCATCAGCCATCGAATGACGATGTTTCAAGCACTGAACCGACTAGTGAAGAACCACAAAATGAAAACGACACTTATCCACAAGACAATATCATGGACGGCGATCAGCCATCGAATGACGATGTTTCCTGCTCTGAACCGAATTATGAAGAACCACAAAATGAAAATGACACTTATTCACAAGACAATATCATGGACTGCCAACAGACATCGTGCAGCGGAGATTTAAGCACTGAATTGTGAAGGATCACTAGATAAAAACGATCATTACAATCGGACTTCACGCGATGGAAGTTTAACCGAATTGAATTGTGAAGAACCACAAGATGAAATGGACGGTAATTACGTTTGCAACAATTGCCCAACCTGCAATCGTTGCAAACGTAATAATAGATATGGTAGCAAAGGCTGTCTGATCTGGCACATCCAAACCTCTCATCTGTCACATTATCGGAGGCTTTATAGTTGCGACGATCACCAGATGTTATTCATCAATCGAAAAACTTTGAGAGAGCACAAGAGAACAGATCACAGGAAAAGAAGAAACAACATGGACAAAAATCCGCCTGCACAAACGAGTTATTCAGCAGCCCAAGACGAGACACCTCCCGAAGGTTTTCAATGCAATGTGTGCGGAAAGATGTATAAGGACCGACATCGATTGAGCCAGCACCGCGCATCTGTTCATGGTCCAATAAAATATATTTGTGCATTCTGTGGGGACGTATCTATAAGAATTTACAATTTAAATCGACATCTTAAGAGATTTCACTTAAATGAAAAAAACTTTACTTGCACAGTAGAGAATTGCTCAAGTTCGTTCACGACAAAATATGAATTAACTGCACATCATAAAGTCGTTCACCAACCAAAAAACCACCAGTGCAATGAATGCAGCAAAAAGTTCGGGTTAAAATTTCAATTAACTCTCCATAAAAAGGAAGTTCACGGGGCAAAAGACCACGAGTGTGACGTATGCGGAAAAAAGTTCACGACAGATCGTCGAATGAAACGACATCGCAGTAGATGTCACGAACACGAATGAAGCGTGTGCGGAAACCTCTTCACGGAGATTGGCTCTTGGAGGCTTCATCAGCTGACTCACCCACGGCAATAAGACCGGATCGCGACAATTGCATATGAAAACGTTGTATTTCAAGAAGATCTTGGCGTATCGTTGAAAATGAAAAATTCTGGCAGCATGGACTTATCATCTCACATGAAAGAGGTTAACGAAGGATAAAAAGAATAAAGCATCGATGTGACAAATGATAGAATTGCATTTACTTGTAACGACTGGAGAGCCAACTTATTATTAAAAATATATATGATTTTATTCTGGCTGGTGACAACGAGGGAAAGTATATATGATGTGGTTTATCTGTATGGAGTAGTAGTCGTTATTATTTGTTATAATAGGTATAAAATCATTTTCTTATATAAATGTTTAGTTTTAAACAATCTGTGGTACTTGCTCCCGATACATTTCTGCGTCGACACTGACGACCAACGATGCCGCGAATCAATAGTCTTTATTATCATAAAAAAATATCGCTGCTTTAAGAAATGTACAATTTTTATGTCAACCTATTTTTTATAAGTATTTCTTGCAGTTATAAGTAATCGCCTAATTAATTTATAACACTATTATACAATCATTCTGAATATGGAGAAATTTATTTGAAAAATTACTTAATATTTAAAAAAAAAAAGTAAATTGATCTATTTCAATAACTAAAATTTATTGTTACGTTCGCCTAACTTCGCTCAGCTTTGTGCAACGAACGTTGCCACTAGTTGATGCTGAGCGCAGCAAAGTCGTACACATTCGATATTGCTAATTTTCGATGTTTTACTCTAACTGCGATAACTCATACAGGGATAAACCAATCGATCTGAAAATTTTACATAGCATTCTTAAGGTGTTGACGGAGTGCTGTATACTTTTTTAGCAACATCAGTGTATCTTAATATGCAAAAAATGCCTTTTTATGCAATTTTGCACCTCGCAACATCTCCACTTCGAAAAAACGTAATTTTTGTTTGCGATCGGTCTTACTTGTGTATCGGTATTTAACATGGTAGTTAAGACAAGTATATTATATGTCGTGTTTTGAGTACCACTATACTGAGCGTAACATGATTGTGATATAGTATAATTATTTCGTGTTTTGAGTATCACTACTGAGCAAAAATTTATGATATTTTTCTTTATTATATGCTAATAAATAAATATATGTTAATTTATGATTTGTTAATTTATTTATTTGTCTCGATGTTTCATCATTTTGCGCGGTATTGATAGGTACGTTTAAAGATCATTTGTATTGATCTCGTGCTTGGGTATTGCCTTCATGCACACTTTGGACGTGTCTGCATAAATATTTTCTATGTTTAAATTTTTTTCCGCATAAAACACAAGCGTGATCAATGTCTTCGTGCTGCGTTTCAATGTGACTTATAAGACGATGTTTTTTAGAAAATTTCTTGCCACACGTATTACATGCGTAAGTTATCTTATTATGCACTGTATCCATGTGGAGTTTGAGACCACTCTTGAATGCGAATTTCTTTCTGCACACTTCGCAAGTAGGTGCCATACCTTTATGTGTCGCATTGATGTGTTTCTTGAGAGTATCTTTCATCGTAAATATTTTGCCACATGTATCACATGCGTGAGTTATCTTATTATGCACTGCATCCATGTGGAGTTTGAGACCACACTTCAATACGAATTTCTTTCCGCACACTTCGCAAGTAGGTGCCATACCTTTATGTGTCGCATTGATGTGTTTCTTGAGAGTATCTTTCATCGTAAATATTTTGCCACATGTATCACATGCGTGAGTTATCTTATTATGCACTGCATCCATGTGGAGTTTGAGACCACTCTTGAATGCGAATTTCTTTCCGCATACTTCGCAAGTAAGTGCCATACCATTATGCATCGCATCGATGTGAATTTTGAGATACCATTTTTGTGTGAATATCTTTTCACATGTACCACACGCATGTTTAACACCATTATGTACTCCATCGATATGGATCTTGAGTTTATCCTTCGTTGGAAATTTCTTTCCGCATATTTCACAAGTAGGGGCCATGTCATTATGCATCGCATCGATGTGAATCTTGAGATAACATTTTTGTGTGAAAGTCTTTGCACAAGTACCACACGCGTGTTTAACACCATTATGTACTCCATCGATATGGATCTTGAGTTTATCCTTCGTTTGAAATTTCTTTCCGCACATTTCGCAAGTAGGTGCCATACCATTATGCATCGCATCGATGTGAATTTTGAGAGTACCTTTGTGTTTGAATGTCTTTCCACAATTACCACACGCATGTTTAACACCATTATGTACTGAATCGATGTGGACCTTGAGATAATCTTTTAGTGCAAATTTTTTACTGCATATATTACATGGATATTTGGTACGATTGCGTGCCTTATCAGTTTGGGTTTTGCGTTGACTATTTTGAGCAAATGTTTTTCCATTTCCATCAAATGCATCACTGAGTTCACCATCCAAATTCAATTCCTCTTTTACTTCGTCGACAATTTCTTCTTTAATTTTCTTTTGAGTCTGATAATCGCAACTATTTTTCATATGCTGCCATTGATCTGGATAATCGTCCTCGGTTTTCTTGACTACTAATAAGTCAATGCTGAGCTTCTCGTCCTTACATTCGAATTCTATTTCCAAATCGTTATTAGGTCCGGAATTTTCATCATTTTTACGCAGCCCATAAATCTGGAAATGAGATTAGTAAAAATACTTGATCAAAATATTGACTAAACAGTCCCACATCAACACTTACTAAATTTTCTCGACAAAAACTCGAGAATTCGTCGGTTTTAGCATTACGTGCATTGTCAATTTTCATATAATCTTCATTTTCAATTGGGGAAACATCATTAGGTTCCTTCTTCACTCTGCAATATTCCCAATAATATAAAGTATTATGCTATTTTTTTTTAAATTTCATTCTCACGAAACAAAAATTACCTGACATCAGAGTTATATAAATCACTGAAGTCCATGTTTATCACTCGGAACTTGATCAACGACTAATTGTTTTGTCATGATGTTACACATCGAGCTAGGTAACATAAGTGTAATAATATTTACAAATCTTGAAATGAAAGTTTGAGAAAATTTATGTCAACAGAGATACTCTGAACTTATCATTTATTATTGGAGAAATTATACTATTGATCTCGTAATAAACAATTAGCCATTTTCTTTGAATTGTATCTTATTACAAAGAAATTATAAATTATTGAACACTTCATGAATCGAGCTTATGATGTGTCCTATACTCCTTTTCGCATAATTTTTTTCGACGCGCAAAATATGAAATAAAGTTAACGTGAGCGAATGAAGGGTTTATATACATTTTTATATTACACTAACGCCAAATACGTGACTACAGTCGCATCTATATCATTTACCATTTTTACACAACGAGCTAATATCTTACATCTATGTAATCTATGTGTGATAAATATGCATGGTTAGTCATGTAGTCAAATATATATCTATGTATATTGTCACGTGGGCACACCGGGCCAGCTTAACGCGTACATACAGCTGTATATGTGTTGGCATGCCATGTGCCAATTCCTTTGGTCGCAACGTTGTCAATACACGCTGAGCAGAAAACATCGATAAGTGAAATCTATTTCGTACGTGCGAATTACGAAAACCTGTATTCATATATACCTATACTAATGTACATGTAGGGAACATCAAACTAAAAAATACGCCCTATTTTTGTGTTCTACTTCTTATTATACTAATAATAATTTTAACGGTTTTACCAAATTAGCTGACACAAAAAAACTCATTGTAACATTGATTTATTATGATATACTCATTGAAGCTACTATTATTAATTTCATACGGCTGAAACAACTATTATCCTGATGTCGTATGCTATTTCGTTATTTACCATTCAGTCGCTCAGCATTTTGCAACTGTGGTTGCCATCTATATGACGTAGGGTACAATACTCGTGATATATTTATGTGCTATTGTTTATAGCCTTTTTTGTCGTGTCACGCGCGCGAGGCGTTAATGTGTTATTTAACGATTCGCACGCTGAAATTGCTGCAGAACTTTGAAACTAGAGAGAAAAGAAAAAAAAAGAAGAAGAACGAGTCGTGGGACGGTACAGTAAAAATTCGATTGTCCAGGCGATCACACACGCGTGTATATGGATCCCTCGACGGCTTCTGCTAATTGAAAATCAGAGTCGCGGCATCTCGTTTGCTCGGATTGACCAGTCGAGTTTGAGATATCTCGTCACGGATACACGTATAGTGGTTGACCCTTCGTATACATAAGAATCGATACCAGGAGATAGACACGATGTTATTATACATTTACACTCGCTCTATACTCATCGGTAATCGTGTCCCAAATGTCACTGAATTAATTTCCTCTCGGCGAAGCTGCCCTAGATTGACGTAGCAACAAAATGAAGTAACTTAATTTTTAAAAACTAGAATATCCGCCTTGATTATACGTGCCCCGCGCCGCGCGGGGGGTGCAAAAAAGCTTCGCTGTGTCACCCGCTGATTCGTTCGTAATATACATTACCCACTGTACGCGGTTAAGAATAAGCGCGCTAACGATCTTTTATTCAAATTTCGCCTTATTGTACAAATCTTATCTTCTTTCCCCGTACGTTATAAGTATATACACACCCAATAATTACGTCATCAAGGAAGTAGCGGCCCGTATTAAATAAATAATGCACTTGATGCAACGCCTGCCACCACACGTATGATGATGCGTATACTTGTGCATCCAAGCAAAGACGGGAGGACGAGCAGACAGAGAGAGAGAAAGAAAAAAAAAGGAGTGAAGAATGGTCGGAAACGTTGGTATATGTATAAGTATAAGTAAGTTACACACGAAGGGAACCTCATGGGATTTTTCCCAGGTTATATATGTACGTATATAGACACACACGCGTACATACACATAATCGTAATTAAAGCGAATGAGAGCGAGACGAGACGCGTATCTCATACATACGCGGCAGGAATACATATGAGAGATGTGTACGAGCGTAGGGACACACAAACCTCGAGAAAGTCGATTATTTCGGAGTACTCGCGCTTAATTATTATTTCGCCCGCGTTTGATGGACAAATTGATTCGCGACCGCGTGTGTGTGTGCTGCCGACATAAACTTTTATCGACGGAGGATGTATACATAAAAATTACGTGCGCTGCCTCTCTCTCTCTCTCTCTCTCTCTTGGGCATCAGAGAGCTGTCATTATCGTTTTCTCCTCGATATATTTAAACACACATTTTTTTTTATACATAAATAAAGGTACACCGCGAGTCGAGTCGCAAGGACTTTGCGAAATCATAAAAAGGCACCAGGACGACGACGACGACAACGAGTTGCCTTGTGCGCGCATGTATTTATTATGCCCGCTTAAATGGAGTGTCGTTACATGTATTATACGATATAATATGCCGATCGATGCGATGGCGCGCAGCTTTTGTGCTCTCGCGTCGTAAGATAAAAAAAAAGAAGACCTTCCAATTTTCCTTACGTCGCGAATTATTCATGTTTCGGATTATAAAACTTTATGGAAAAAAATTTCCATTATAATGTTTTATGCCCGAGACTCTTCAATCCCGAGGAGTGAAAAATATTGAAAAACTTTCGCTAAAAATTTGTAACTTGCCTCGCTCGATGCCGCGTGTTGTACACAAGCAGCAGCAGCAGAAAAAAGGGAAAAGAAGGGGGGAAAAAAAAGTAAAGTCGCTTGATGAATCACATTTTTTTTTTTTTGTTAACCCAGTTCTTTTTTTCATCTCTATCCGCTGCAAAATTGATTTGCTTTACTACCCACACACAGCACCGCAGCAACCACGGCAACAGCAGAGGTACGTCGTCGCGCAATCCGAAACAATTGCTCGCTCGTCGTAATTTTCCGTCCTTTTCTCCCCCCTCGTGCTGTGGGTCTATAATGTGTATTTTACGTTTTTAGACTCGACGTTGCCACCATGACGAGGAGAGAAGAAGGAAAAAAAATTATTTATTTCCGCGCGCCTCGAGAGAGAGAATCGCTGCAGTCGTGTCCCATAAGCTTTAAACGCATCTATCGGATTTAACAGTTATATAATCATAATAAAAAAAGTAAGTTACGACGTGTATCTTCGTTAATTTTATTACAGCATCACCACCCATCGTCATTATGTTATCTCCGCTGACGCGAAAGATGTAATAATAACAACAACGACAAAAAAGCCAACATTTTTATAGCCGCGTACTGAAATCTAATAAAAAAAAAAAAAAAAAGAAGAAAAGACCGACTCGTTTTCCATTCGCTTTGGTTCTACGTGCTGCAGTGTCCGGCAAATCGGCTACAAATGCTTAAAGGTCTCAAATAAAACTTCTGGCTTCGGTGCTCGCGCGCGGAGGGGGAGTGAAACAACAAAGCACACCCATAGAAAAAGCGAGTGAGAAACTCTCGACGCGCGCGCGGCGAGTAAATTCGATTTTCAACGAGCGAGTTTCGCTAGCGCGCGAAATCTTCCCGCGCGATTCCCGCGTATTTATACAATTACATAAAAGAGGAGAGAGAAAAAAAAGGATTCAACTCGAGCGATGATCAACTTTCGAGAGCGTTTAATGCTCGGGTTTTCTACCCAATGTAATGTGATTTTATACATGAGCTCTTTGTACACAGCAGCAGCGGCGTATCGAGTTTTTAATTCGTTCTTCTTCTTTTTTTTTTTCTTTTTTGCCTAGTTGTTGGAAAAGTACAGGGCAAGCAATCCTTGCAGCACGTCGGGATCATGCTCCTCGAACTTTTTCAAAGCCCGCCTGACGTCCTCGATGCCATTGATTTTCTGGCAGAGATATTCCTTGCTGAAAAACTGCGAACGCACGCGTAAATGACACAGACACACAAGCGCGTACAAAAGAAAAAGAAGAGGATGGAGGAAAAATAAAGAAGATTTTCTGCCATCGCCGGCAGATTATATATATAAAAGGAATTATATTTCAAAATAAAATATTGTACGTACCAGGCAAAAGTCAACGAGCTCCTCCTCGTAGAGTTTGCATTTCTCTCCGTAATTCTGGCAGGTCATGTCGCCGTTCTGGCCGAGGTCCGCCAATTGCTTTTCCACCATGCTCAGCTGCTCGTTCTATTGTATAATACAACGCAAAATTGACGACACCTATATAAAGATCGGAAAAAAATTTAGGAAAAAAAAGCTTACCGTCAACTCGTCCACCATCGAGGCCCAACAGACCGTCGACGAGATCGAGAGCACCAAAAGCAGTCCCAACGCAAAGATCCGCGACGACGACATGTTAACGCGGGCAGAGCTTTTCGACGTATTCCGATCGACCGGAGAAACGTAAAAAACACAAAAAAAAACTGAAAATTTCATAAATAAGCGACAGAAGTACGTGGTAGCTTTTTATGAATCACGACTTTTCTTTTCGTCGACGTCGACGTTTATCGCGATTTCACGCTCTCGAAAATTTTGTTCAATTTTTCAATGCGATTCATACACCCGAAGTATACAGTGCGAGAAACACAGCGAGTAGCTCGTCTTTCTATATATTTATGCTTCTCTCGGGCTTTTTAATCATCGTCGTTGCGGGCTGCAGAGGATCGTAAGAAGATTGGCTGCTACCGCCGAGTTTCACGTATTAATCAAAAGAACCGCAGTGACCCCAAAAATATTAAAAAAAAACATCATTTTAAAATGTACAAGGTTGTCGCATCTTTTTTTTTTCTTTCTCCCGGAGGAAGCTACGTGATAGGCTCCGAAGTGACCTTTGGAACTAAAGGCATGTCCCGAAAATGAAAGTGTTTTTTTTTAGTTTTAGAAAAATTGGAATTATTTAGACATTTACGGTGGAAAAATATCATACTTAACATTTTGTATGAAATAAGCGAATTTTTCGCTGAGGATAAAAAATTTTTTCTATCAACTTTTCAACATTAACTTTTTTTAGTTTATTTTTTGTTGACATCTATTAATAAACTACTTATGATTCATTCTCCCAAAATCGAATTATTTTTAGTGGATAGAAAGGAAAATCTTTTCTTATCTCGAGAAAGAGAGTTGCAATACACATGTTGTGATTACTCATTGGAATTTTTTCAATGACACCATCTGTGAATTAATTTTTCAATTCGTATTAGATGAGACTCGTAGAAGTCAATCATGAGCAACGTTTAGCTTGTCTGCTCGTAGTTTTTTCTTACATCCGATCAAATATGAATTCTTGAATACTGTGTATACGAAAATAAATACGATGTGAGTGTTTACTTACCTACGTACTTGATGAGAGTCAAAATAATGACTTAAGCTCATTAGATACATGATTACAATTGTCAATACTTGCAGAGATTTTTTATTGATGGTGTCAGTTTTTCATGATTTCGTCAGTTGCCGGTTGCGGAAGTTGTCGAGCGATATTTATAAATAATTATTGTTTCATGACCATGATTTTATACTCTTCTTATAATAAAATAGAGAGAAGATACTTAGGGAAAGGTTCAAGTGTTAATTGAAATTTTAAAAGATCAGTTAAACAGGAAAAATTATTAATATTAAAGTTTATTCAATATAAAAATAACAAAAAAAAGAACTGTAATGGATTGGAATATCATATTGTTCTTTACAAAAATGAAGGATTTTCCAAAATAACGTACAGTAACATATGAGCGTAGAAGTCTTGATAGCGTGCAAATGTCTCGGGTGAATTTCACGCTTCTAAAGTTTGCTCCGATTATATACAGCATTAACTGAAAAATTTGAGATGAGTTTTTGGTCGATATGATTTGAGATAAATCTCACTTTTCAAGGGTTTAATATGATCATGAGATGCATTTATGAGCCTTTTGAGATTACTTTTTGTTCGAATGATTTGTAACAGGTCTCACATTCAAAGGGGTTTTTTATGTACAAGTAGTAAATTTATATGTCTATTGAGGATGGTACCCTTTTCTCCAAATGATTTATGACAAATCTAACATTCTACGAATTTCATACGAACATGTACTGAATGTAAGTGTCTTTTGAGGTCACTCTTGCATATAAATGATTTGTGACAAATATCACACTCGAAAGGCTTGCTTCTATTATGCACTGCATTTACGTGCCTTTTCAGTATACTCTGGTATCCAAATGATTTCTGACATATCTCACATTTGAAGAGTTTGCTACGATCATGTAATGCATTTTTGTGCAATCTGAGGTAGTCCTTGCGGCCATATAATTTATGACAAATATCACATTCAAAGGATTTGAGACGGTAATGTACTGTATCTATGTGAATTTTGAGGTGAATTTTTCGCCCAAATGATTTGTGACAAATTTCACATTCGAAGGGCTTACTCCGATTATGTACTACATTTAAGTGACGTTTGAGGGTGACTTTTTGTCCAAATGATTTGTGACAAATCTCACATTCAAAGGGTTTGATACGATCATGTACTGTTTTTATGTGAGTATTACGCTTACTTTTGGATGAAAATGACTTGCGGCAAATCTCACATTCGAAAGATTTGCTGTGCTTGTGTACTGTAAAATCAATTGATATATTTTCATCTCTGCCATTGGTTTCATTTTCCTTTTCTATTTTCACAACAGGTAGGTAACTTTGATCCTCGGTTTTGCAGATAGTTGTCGATGGAGTCTTACCTTCAAGTTTAACATTTTTGCACTCAAAATCTACGATTATATTTTCAATAATGTCATCCATCTGTTTTTCATTTTCTATTTTCGCAATGGGTAGGTAACTTTGATACTCAGTTTTGCAAACGGTTTTCGAAGAAAAATTCGGTTCTTCTTTAAAATATTTGCACTCAAAGTCTATGAATACTTTTTTGTCTAATTTTTCTTGTAACGGTATTGCCGCATTTATCCGATTTGCCTGAAATTAAAATTATGTAATAATATTTTACAGTAGCATAACGGAGCATAAATAAAATCATTGAACCTACCGATGATTTATTTAACGTTGATGTTTCTAATTTCTCGGCCTTGTAAGAATTCACAGAATCGAATACATAATCGTCACCTGCATCTGGGAAGGTATCGTTCGCTTCTTCCTTTACTCTGAAGAATGATTGAGTTTTATCAGAGATCGTTCAGAAAATTATAATTGCAAGAACGTAACATGTTTTACCTAATTATAATCCCGTTGCTTTCCATCGTAGGCTTGATAAGAGTGTATAGTACATAAACTTTTACGATTTACACTGAGAAAATATGTGAGGTTAAACGCTCCTTTTTAGATACTTATACTTTTCAAGTCTGATGTTATTTGTAAAATGTAAACACTTGCCAACTACAGAAATTTAACTTCTCGTCAGTGACTGAACGCACTACTGGTATATTGACTATTAAGTTATACCCACGATTATGATGGATTCTTGGTGATACTTTCTCCCCCTACCATAGATTGACCATAAGCAGCGTACAGGATACATAGAGGTATTCGCACACATCAAAGCTGCACCGAAGTTTTAATGCATTTGTCATTCATTCAGGCGCACAATTGGGTTACATACATGTATTATATGCATGGAATGAAAAATTCGCTCGAAAGAGAAATATAACTTTATATTCACATCAATGCATCTAAATAAAATTAGTTTTTTTTCAGCGAAAATGATCACAAATGTAGCGGATTTTATCCCGAATTTCAAAAGAACGAGCACGTAAAATCACCTTTTAGACAACTTGATTCCGTCTCTTAGATGTCCATGTTGGACCAAAAGTCTTTCGATTCTCGGATCAACAGAACCACCGATAAGTTCTTCTCCGTTAGTCCTCAATATTTTATCAAAAATCGACAGCGGTGAAGTAGTTGTGCCGTAAAACAATTACAGAAAACAGAAATTTACTCCAATATCTTAAAGAAAAGTTCAAATGATAATTATAATCGATTCAAATTCGAGTTCATATTTGACGAAATTTACAACAAAATTAATGAAAGATTGAAATATTTTATTGTTTTTCAAGCAAATTAAAGACATTGATAATCTGAAATTTGTTTCGAATTTACATAGTTTATTTATGTGAAAGTAAAAATCTTCATGACGTTCAAGTGTCTGTGACCAAATCTCATACTTCTAAAGTTTGCTCTGATTATATACTGCATTTACGTAAGATTTAAGATAAGCTTTTTGTACTAATGATTTGTGACAGATCTTACATGGGTTTGTTCAGATGCAATGCAATTATATGTTTATTGAGACTACTTTTTTCTGCAAATGATTTTTTGCAAATGCCACATTCGAAGGGTTTGTTACGATTATGTACTGCATTTACATGAACATTCAGATGGCATTTGTGTGCAAATGATTTGCGACAAATTTCACATTCAAAGGGTCGGATCTGATTATGTACAGAATTTACGTGACTTTTGAGGTCACCCTTGCATCTAAATGATTTGTGACAAATTTCACATTCAAAGGGTTTGATGTGATTATGTACAGAATTTACGTGTCTTTTGAGGTCACCCTTGCCTCTAAATGATTTGTGACAAATATCACACTCGAAAGGCTTGCTCCGATTATGTACTGCATTTATGTGTCTATTGAAATCACTCTTTTTTCCAAATGATTTGTAACAAATCTCACACTCGAAGGGTTTGATGCGATTATGTACTGCGTTTATGTGCCTGTTGAGGTTACTACTATCTCCAAATGATTTGTGACAAATTTCACATTCGAAGGGCTTACTCCGATTATGTACTACATTTAAGTGACGTTTGAGGGTGACTTTTTGTCCAAATGATTTGTGACAAATCTCACATTCAAAGGGTTTGATCTGATTATGTACTGAATTGAGGTGCAGACTTTTCAGATTTTGCCTGCGACTATATGATTGGTGGCAAATCTCGCATTCAAAGGGTTTGCTCCGATCATGTACTGAACTTATGTGTTTTGCGAGACCACTTTTTCGTGTAAATGATTTGTAACAAATGTCACACTCAAAGAGTCTTCTATGATCATGTATTCCGATGATGTGTGTATTGAGGGTACTTTTTTTCCAAATGATTTGTGACCAATGTCACATTCAAAGGGTTTGCTGCGATCATGTACTGTTTTTATGTGACTGTTGAGCTTACTTTCATATGCAAATAATTTGTGGCAAATTTCACATTCAAAAGCCTTCGTTCGACAATGTACTGCAAAATCAGTGGATATATTTCCATTTGTATCATTGGTCTGATTTCCGTTTTCTATTTTCACTATAGGCAAACAACTTTGATCCTCAGTTTTGCACATGGTTGTCGATGGAGTCTTGCCTTCAAGTTTCACATTTTTGCACTCAAATTCGATGTATATATTTTGATTCATCCCATTTGTCTGATTTTCGTTTTCTGATTTTACTTTGAACTCAGATTTGCATATGTTGGCCGGTAATATCGTCAGATCAAGCTTCACATTTTTGCCCTCAAAGTCTACGAATATTTTTTCGTCTACTGTTTCCTGTAATGGCATAACCTCATTTATATAATTTGTCTGAAATTAAAATTATGTAATATTTTTTTTTTATGTGGAGATATTGAAGCATAAATAAAATCATTGAGCTCACCGGTGATTTATAAAGTGGGAACATTTGAATGTTTTTGGCTCCGGAAGAGTCGACCGAATCGAAATCATAATCATCGCTTGCGTCTGGCCAAGTATCTTGTGGCTCTTCTTTTACCCTAAAGAATAGAAAAATTTGATGAAATGATTGCTTAAAAAAACATCATTGCTTGCCAGCATTAAAGTAGTTACATACCCAATTATGTCTTCACTGCTTTCCATAACTTGCTCAATTATGATATGAATTTACTGCAAATGTTCACAATGTTTACTGAGAAAATATTTAAGGTTATATGCCTCGAGCAGTTAATTAATGCTGAACCCCAAATTCGCACGGCTTCGTATTACTTTAGCTCTATGCTAGAGACTAAACAGATTACTTTTACTTATAATACCTATTAGCGAAGTGACTCCGTAATTGTGATAGTTTCTTGGCGATACACTTTTCCTCCAAGATCAACTTTTTCTATGAAACAAACAAAGGCACTCGCACGCATCAAAGCTACACCGAAATTGTAATGAGTATGCCATTCATTCAGGCGCACAATTTGCTTGCATGCGCGTGTTATATGTGCGGAGAAACACTCATGCAAAAGAGAAATATAACTTTAGGTTTTCATTAAAATATGTGAATAAAATTACAGGAAATTCGAATATTTTGTCGGCGAGTCCCCCCGATATCATATAGAATGAGCACGTAAAATCACCCTTGAGACAACTTGATTCCGTCTCTTAGATGTCCAAGTTTGACCAAAAGTCTTTCGATCCTCGGATCAACAGGACCACCGTTAAGTCCTACTCCGGTAGTCCTCACATCACCGGCATTTTATGAAAAACCGACAGTGGTGAAGTAGTGGCGCCATGAAATGTTTTGGCTCGAGTGCGAAAGTAAAGTAAAATATCGATCGTGACTAATTGGGTATTTCAACTTCTTATTAAATTTCTAAAAACTATTTATTTATTCATATTGGAGTCGTGTATGATAATCATAAGAATGAAATTTTTTCATTAAATGGAACACAAACAAAATCAATCAACGAATCTGTCGTGATATAATCAAAGTAGTACAACAATGTATCGCCTCCGTCCTAAGCCCACACCTGCGACCGATCGGTAAAGCAGATTGGTTTAAAGTCGAACCAGCTGACGCCGTCCGTGGGGTACTTCTTCCGATCCTTGTAGCAGATCTCGGTGAAGCAGTAGTGCCCCAGCTGCTCCGGTTGCCGCTCGTACAGTTTGACGTCGCCTCGCGCGTGCCACCTGTGGCACGCGTTCCACTCCCTCGCGGCGAACACATCGGTGAGTATGCTGCCGTCGCTGCCGTCGATCCTCGCCGTGTTGAAAAACATCGGCCAGCGCGAGCTGTGACACGGACCCGGTCCGGTGCACTGGATGTAGGTGAGCAGCATCCCTCCCTCGGCTAGATTCACCACGTCGAACTCGAGACTGAGCGACAACTCGTCGGACGTCGTCTCGAATTTCAGTTGACCCCGACGATCGAACTGGCTGCAGGTGAACTCGTTCCTGTCGATGAGGCCGACGCAGACGCCGATCAAGCCGTGGGCCGTCGAGTGAGCTACGAGTTTGTAGGGATCCACGCCCTTGTACCAAAATTGCTCGTAGCGGCGAAGCTCCAGGATCTGTCCGTCCGGCTGGACGATGGCGGCTCGTACGGTCGTCGTCTGGTTTGCTTCCTCGTCGTCGGGTGCGATCGTGTCGATGAGAAGATGGCCACTGGCCGGACTCTCCTGGTCCAACGGCTCCAGGATCATGTCGTCGTCGCGCACCGTCTGATTGAACCAGAAACTGTGATCCGGATCCCTGTGAACTGGCATGCCTCGTTCGTCGAAGGTGATCCTGCATCTGGGCACGTCGCGTCCCGAGGACGGTATCCGGCACTCCGGAAAATGCTCCGATCCGACCACCACGTCGAAGCTGTTCTCGTAGACGACGTAGCTCACCGGTCGGTATAACCTCAGCCGGATCCACATGAAACTCGGCGGATGAAGCGTGCAGTTGTCGAAGTGCACGACGTTCATTCGCCAATGGGTGAGGTTTGAGTCGTCGGTTCCCTCGTGGGCCAGCCAGCTGACGATGGCCTTGTCGGCGCCGAAACGGAGCACCTGCGTCTCGTCGCCTCTGAGCGCTTGTCTACCCGACGCGAGCGACACTTCGCAGTGCTGCTCGCGCTCAGGCACGTCGTTCCTGTCCGGCTTGGCCTTGACGGCGCTGATCTTGCACTTGGTGACACCACGATGTGGATTATACCTGGTGCAAATCAACTTCACGTAGCTGTCGTTCTTGTAGGATTGCCGGTCGAAGATGAGGTTCGTCGGGTCGTCGTCGTCGTTGTCGTTGGAATGTCGGGAGGCTGAGGCGTTGAGGCTGCAGCAGATCGTCGCCAGCAGGAATAGCGAGAGGATTTTCGCCAAGTGCGACATTGTCTGTGGGATGAATAAAATTCAAAAAAAAAGAGAGTGAAAAATGTTGGAATATTATAGAGCCAATATTTCGTTTGTGAATTGGTGCCAAGCTTACCTTTATTTACTTAGTTTGTACTGCCAATAGCGACGTAAGATAGCCGACTGATGAAAGGTAAAATTGTATACAGTACATAACGATTTTTGATTTTATGGGTAAAACTTCCAAAATCGTCTTTGAATCGAAATGTTTTCGGTTTTAAATTGAAGCTTGTCTATTCCATTTTCAATAATTGCCTGAGTATTTGAGTTTCAAATTTCAGATAACTCCAAGTGCTTGAGCTCGCATTTTATGGTTTTTTTTTTTAATATATTTCATTATATACTTCATGTTGTAAAGCTCTTCGAACGTCGAGACAATAATTATTTATTTATTTTTTTTAATAGTAGTTAATGCATCAAAACGTTCAAATTATGTTTTTTTTGCATGAAATTTGTATGCATAAGCGTTGTTTACCATTTTTTAACATCTCAAGTAATGGTTATGAAATAAAGGGTACGGAAAGGTCAGCGCGTGACGTTCAGAAATGATAATTGCTCAAGGTCAAGATTTTTTACTTCCATATCTTAAAGAAGAGTTCAAATGATAATTGTAATCGAAGATCGATTCAAATTCGAGTTCATAATCGACGAAAGTTACAACAAAATTAATGAAAGATTGAAATATTTTATTGTTTTTCAAGCAAATTAAAGACATTGATAATCTGAAATTTTTTTCGAAATTACATACTTTACTTATGTGAGTGTAAAAATCTTCATGGCGTTTAAGTGTCTGTGGCCAAATCTCACACTTCGAAATTTTGCTCTGATTACATACTGCATTTACGTAAGATTTGAGATAAGCTTTTTGTACAAATGATTTGTGACAGGTCTTACGTGGGTTTGTTTAGATGCAATCTAATTATATGTTTATTAAGATTACTTTTTTCTGCAAATGATTTTTTGCAAATGCCACATTCGAAGGGTTTGATACGATTATGTACTGCATTTACATGAACATTCAGATGGCCTTTCTGTGCAAATGATTTGCGACAAACCTCACATTGGAAGGGTTTGATCTGATTATGTACTGAATTGAGGTGACATTTCAGATTTTGCTTGCGACTATATGATTGGTGGCAAATCTCGCATTCAAAGTTTTTTCTACGCAAATGTATTGCATCAATGTGTCTAGTGAGGGTCACTTTTTGTCCGAATGATTTGTGACATGCATCACATTCGAAGGATTTGCTCCTATTATGAACTAAATTTACATGTAGAGTGAGGTTAACTTTTCGTCCAAATGATTTGTGACAAATTTTACACTCGAAGGGTTTGCTACGATCATGTATCGTCATTGTGTGCCTTATAAGTTTACTCTGGTATCGAAATGATTTGTGACAAATTTCACATTCAACGGATTTGCTAGGATTATGTACTGAATTAAAGTGTCTTTTGAGGTAGGCCTTGTATCCAAATAATTTATGGCAAATTGCACACTCGAAGGATTGGACACGATTATGTACTGTAGTTATGTGCGTTTTGAGGGTATCTTTGCGACCAAACGATTTGTGACAAATGTCACATTCAAACGGTGCGCTTCGATTGTGTACTGAATTTATGTGACGTTTCAAGGTACTTGGCCGTCCAAATGATTTGTAACAAGTGTCACATTCAAAGGGTTTGATGCGATTATGTACTGCATTTATATGCTTTATGAGGTCAGCCTTGTATCTAAATGATTTTTGACAAATGTCACATTCGAAGGGTTTGCTGCGATCATGTACTGTTTTTATGTGATTATTGAGCTGGCTTTCATATGCAAATAACTTGTGGCAAATTTTGCATTTAAAAGCCTTCATTCGACAATCTACTGCAAAATCAGTGGATATATTTTCATTTATATCATTGGACTGATTTCCGTTTTCTATTTTCACTATAGGCAAACAACTTTGATCCTCAGTTTTGCAGACATTTTCTGATAAAAGTTTCACTTCGGATTTAACATTTTTGCACTCGAATTCGATGTATAAATTTTCATTTATCTTATCTGTCTGATTTTCATTTTCTAACTTTATGATTGGTTGAATATTTTTAACTTCGGATTTGCAGATGTTGGTCGACATAGGCATTAGATCGGGCTTAACATCCTTGCACTCGAAGTCTAGGAATATTTTTTCGTTTAATTTTTCCTGGAACCGCATAACTTCATTCATGTGATTTGCCTAAAATAAAAATTGTATCATAATTTTGTATGTCAAGAAAATTTAACTTTGAATCAATTAGTACTAACCGGTAATTTATAAAGGGCAATGTGTGCGGCTTAAGGCCGACATTATACTGCTGAGTATCTAACGTTCAATGGCATCTCATAACTACCCATCTGTCTCCGGTCTGGATAGAGGAAGTACTGGATTACTGGCCATATGACGAAGTTGTTGAGCAGTAAAAGAAATATAAACACTAGAAGTACTTGTATAAACGGGCTACTCGGAATACTGCCTTGAATGCACCGCATGGTGTGTGGAACCCCAAGCTCCGAAGTGATAGTTCAATTGAATTTTTTTGGTTCCGCAAGAGTCCTTTGAATCGAAATCATGAACGTCGCCTGCATCTGACCAATTATCGTTTGGCTCTTCCTTCGTCCTAGAGAATAGTACAAAATTTGATGAAATGATTGCTTAAAAAAATATCATTGCTTGCAAGTAGTTATATACCCAATTATGTTCTCACTGCTTTTCATAACTTGCTTAATAACGATATAAATTTACTGCAAATGTTCACAATATTCACTGAGAAAATATTTGAGGTTATGTGTGCCTCGAGCAGTTAACACTGCACCTCAAATTCGCACCGATTTGTAAACACTCGCTTACTTCAGCTCTATGCTGGAGACTAAACAGATTACTTTTACTTATAATACCTATTAGCGAAGTGACTCCGTAATTGTGATAGTTTCTTGGCGATACACTTTTCCTCCCAGATCAACTTTTTCTATGATACAAACAAAGGCTTTCGCACGCATTAAAGCTACAACGAAATTGTAATGAATGTGGCATGCATTCAGGCGCACAATTTGCTTGCATGCGCATGTGATATATGCGGAGAAACACTCATGCAAAAGAGAAATATAACTTTAGGTTTTCATTAAAATATCTGAATAAAATTACAGGAAATTCGAATATTTTTTCGGCGAGTCCCCTCGATATCATATAGAATGAGCACGTAAAATCACCCTTTAGACAACTTCCGTCTCTTAGATGTCCAAGTTTGACCAAAAGTCTTTCGATCCTCGGATCAACAGGACCACCGTGAAGTCCTCCTCCGGTAGTCCTCACATCACCGGCATTTTATGAAAAACCGACAGTGGTGAAGTAGAGGCGCCATGAAACATTTATGTTTTGGCTCGAGTGCGAAAGTAAAGTAAAATATCGATCGTGACTAATTAGGTATTTCAAATTATTATTCAATTTCTAAAAACTATTTATTCAATCATATTGAAGTATTGTATAATAATCATAAGAATAAAAATTTTACATTGTAACGAAACAAAAACAAAATCAATCGACCGATCTGCCGAGATATAATCAAAATAGTACGACAACAAAAACCTCTGTTCCATATCCTTACCGCTGCGACTCGTCGGTAAAGCAAAGCGGCTTGAAGTCGAGCCAGCGTGAGCGACGCGTGGAGTATCCCTTCGGGTCCTTGTAGCAGATCTCGGTGATGCAGTAGTGGCCCGGCTGCTGCTGCTCGTACAGCTCTACCCCAGCTCGTTTGCGCCCCTCTTGGCACTCGTACCACTCCATCGCGCCGAATACGTACTTGTGCACGCCGCCACCGTCGCTGCCGTCGATCCTCGCCGTGTGGAACAACATTGGATTGTTCGAGTAATGCCACGGACCCGGTCCGGCGCGCTCGATGTAGGTGAGCAACATCCCGTCCTCGGCCAGATTTATCACGTCGAACTCGAGACTGAGCGACAACTCGTCGGACGTCGTCTCGAATTTCAGTTGACCCCGACGATCGAACTGGCTGCAGGTGAACTCGTTCCTGTCGATGAGGCCGACGCAGACGCCGATCAAGCCGTGGGCCGTCGAGTGAGCTACGAGTTTGTAGGGATCCACGCCCTTGTACCAAAATTGCTCGTAGCGGCGAAGCTCCAGGATCTGTCCGTCCGGCTGGACGATGGCGGCTCGTACGGTCGTCGTCTGGTTTGCTTCCTCGTCGTCGGGTGCGATCGTGTCGATGAGAAGATGGCCACTGGCCGGACTCTCCTGGTCCAACGGCTCCAGGATCATGTCGTCGTCGCGCACCGACTGATTGAACCAGACGCGGTGATCCGGATCCCTGTGAACTGGCAGGCCTCGCTCGTCGAAGGTGATCCTGCATCTGGGCACGTCGTGTCCCGAGGACGGTATTCGGCACTCCGGAAAATTCTCCGACCCGACCACCACGTCGAAGCTGTTCTCGTAGACGACGTAGCTCACCGGTTGAAAATCCCGGAGTCGCAACCACATGTCACTTGAAGGATAAACCGTGCAATTGTCGAAGTGCACGATGCTCATTCGCCAAGTAGGAGCCTGCCAGCTGACGATGGCCTTGTCAGGGCCGAAACGCAACACCCGCGTCTCGTTACCCCCGAGCTTGCGATCCGCTGACAGCCACACTTCGCATCGCTTCTTGCTCTCGGGCACGTCGTTCTCGCCCGGCTTGGCCTTGACGGCGTTGATCTTGCACTTGGTAACGCCACGATGCGGATTATACCAGGTGCAAATCAACTTCACGTAGCTGTCGTTCTTGTAGGATTGCCGGTCGAAGATGAAGTTCGGTGGGTCGTCGTCGTGGTCGTTGGAATGGCGGGAGGCTAAGGCGCTGAGGCTGCAGCAGATCGTTGCCAGCAGAAATAGCGAGAGGATTTTCGCCAAGTGCGGCATTGTCTGTGGGATGAACAAAATTTAAAAAAAAAAAAAAAGAGAGAGAGAAAAATGTCGGAATATTATAAAGTCGATATTCCGTTTGTGAATTGGTGCCAAGTTTACCTCTGTTTACTTAGCGTGTACTGTCAATAGCGACGTAAGATAGACGACTGATGAAAGGTAAAGTTGTACAACTCAATGATCGACTTGACTCTATGGAAAGAAAATGATTTTTCATATTCTGAGCCGTTAAAATCCTCTTTGAATTCCAACGTTTTCGGTTTTAAATTAAAGCTCGTCTGTTTCTTTTTTTCAATTATTGCGCAGGTCTTCGAGTTTCAATTGTCTGATAACTCCAAGAGCTTGAGCTCGTATGTTTATAGTTTTATTTCATTTACAGTTCTTGTATTTCGATTCTAACTTAATATTTCACTAACGCACTTGGGAAAGCGCTTTGAAGCCAAGCCTATAATTATCATTATTTTTGATGTTTATTTTAATGCATGTATCAAAGTGTTAAATTCATATTTTTTGCATGAAGTTTGTACGTATTAGCATGTCTTGTTGCAGTTTTTTGGAACTGATTAAAATTTTTTGATATCTGAAGTAAGGGTCACGAAATTAAAATAGCCATGCACAAGCTTTACATATCGATGGTCCTTTTACGGTGGGCATGTTGATCGAAATCGAACGATAATGATATTTTTTCATTATTCGATCATACGATATACTTTGCATCGATCACGTTGAATTGTCACTACTATTTGAGCTTTTCTTAATCGACGATTTCAGTTCTTCAAACTTCCACAGTTGAAGGTCAGTGCTCGAAATTTAGGAACGATTAGCAAGATTTAAATGATAATTAGAATTATTGAAGATAGGTTTAAATTTGAGTTCATGTATGACGAAAGATAACGACGAAATTAATGAAAGTTTGAAATATTTTATTTTTTTTCGCACAATTTAAGGTTATTGAGTATATGAATGATTTTTACAAAAATACATAGCTTATTCTAGTGTATATAAAAATCTTCATTGTTTTTAAATGGCTCTCGACAAATCTTATGCACCTAGAGTTTACAATTGGTTACTGCCATTATATGCCGTTTGAGTTTACTCTGCCATTCAAACGATTTGTGGCAAATGTCGCTTTCGAAGGGTTTCGTCATATGATGTACGGCATTTATATGATTTTTGAGGTCAGCCTTGTATCCAAATAATTTTTCACAAATATTACATTCAAACGGTTTTGCGATTATGTACTGCATTTATGTGTTTATTGAGGTAACTATTATCTCCAAATAATTTGTGACAAATCTCACACTCGAAAGGCTTGCTCCGATTATGTACAGAATTTACGTGTCTTTTGAGGTCACCCTTGCCTCTAAATGATTTGTGACAAATCTCACACTCAAAAGGTTTGCTCCGATTATGTACTGTAGTTATGTGAGTTTTGACGATATCCTTGCGACTAAACGATTTGTGACAAATGTCACATTCAAACGGTGCGCTTCGATTGTGTACTGAATTTATGTGACGTTTGAGGTTACTTGTCCGTCCAAATGATTTGTAACAAGTGTCACATTGAAAGGGTTTGCTCCCATCATGTACTGTTTTTATGTGACTATTGAGCTCATTTTTATATGCAAATAACTTGCGGCAAATTTCACATTCAAAAGCCTTCGTTCGACAATGTACTGCAAAATCAGTGGATATATTTCCATTTGTATCAATGGTCTGATTTCCGTTTTCTATTTTTACTATAGGCAAACAACTTTGATCCTCAGTTTTGCACATGGTTGTCGATGGAGTCTTGCCTTCAAGTTTCACATTTTTGCACTCAAATTCGATGTATATATTTTTATTCATCCTACTTGTTTGATTTTCGTTTTCTAACTTTATGATCGGTTGAATATTTTTGAACTCGGTTTTGCAGATGTTGGTCGACATAGGCATTAGATCAGGCTTAACATCTTTGCACTCGAAGTCTATGAATATTTTTTCGTTTAATCTTTCCTGAAACCGCATAACTTCGTTCGTATGATTTGCCTAAAATTAATATTGTATCACAATTTTTTATGCCGAGAAAATTTAACATAATTCGATAATTCGAATCATTTAGCACTAACCGGTGATTTATAAAGCGGGAACATTTGAATGTTTTTGGCTTCGGAAGAGTCCACCGAATCGAAATCATAATCGTCGCCTGCGTATGGCCAAGTATCCTGTGCCTCTTCTTTCACCCTAAAGAATAGAAAAATTTGATGAAATGATTGCTTAAAAAAATATCAATGTCTGCCAGCATTAAAGTAGTAACATACCCAATTATGTTCTGGCTGCTTTTCATAACTTGCTTAATTATGATATAAATTTACTGAAAATATTCATAATATGTACTGAGACAATATTTGAGGTTATATGTGCCTCGAGCAGTCAACACTGCACCTCAAATTCGCACCGATTTGTAAACACTCGCTTACTTTAGCTCTATGCTACAGACTACATGCACTACTTTATTTATCAAACTTATTAACAGAGTGACTCCGTAATTGTGATAACTCCTTGGCCATACACTTTTCCTACAAGATCAACTTTTTCTATGATACAAACAAAGGCACTCGCACACATCAACGCTAGACCGCAACTGTAACGAATGTGTCATTCGTTCAGGCGCAAAATTTTCTTGCACACACGTTGCAGAAATATTCATACAGAAAGAAAGATATAACTTTGAATTCACATCTAGATATCCAAATGTGAGTAAAATTACTCGAAATTCTAACATTTTCACGATAATGACCATCGATTTTGCGAATTTCTAACTAAATTTCAAAATAATGAACACGCTAAGCTGCCTAGAGTTTCGATACATTTTTAGTTTTAAAAAACAATTGCGATGATCTCACATCATATTTTTTTATCGATCGAAGTTACGCATTGTACTGATTCTTCTATCCTGGTTGTACCCGGCCTCTTATCAAAAACCTTGGTTCGTTGCTACCGCAGTGGTAATCTTAGAGCCGCGAAACGATAATAGTCTCGCTGAAGTGCGAACAATGGTCACTTTTTAAATACTTCACACGCGCAGAAGCTCTGCGTTTTGTATTACGACAGAAAATTAGATTATCCATTGATTCATATTGAAGTCATGTCAAACATGTATTCGTACAATGATCATATGAATAACATTTTACGTTATGTTGAGACGAAAACAAAATCCATCGATCAACAAGTGTGTACAAGTGTGTGTTACAAACGCAAAATTACTATCGTCATCGACCGAACGATCTGTACTATTATTACGTCAATGTATACACAGTGCCTCATCTTGCCGTATTGGTCGTAAATTTATGTTTTTCTTTCTTGAGATGGAAGTGATTTTTTGCAAAATTTCCGTACAAGTTCAGCTTTTATGGAATTGATAGAAGAAAGGAGTAGGGCAATGTCTTATTGTATTGGTATTTTTGAACAAGATCGAATGTGTATTGTTTGTGTAGAGCAATATTAACGGGAAAATTAAAAATCTTCCTTATTCGTCATGATTCATTTCTTTATTTCAATGCGTATGTGGACTAAAAAATATCGAAGCTTTGCTCTTTATTCAATTGCACAAAAAACGTAACACTTATCGTCGACGCGCTCGCACACAAACATACACTTGTGCTTCGGAAAAAGCTTTCCGATCGTCACTCTCGTCACTCGTCACGTAATTTAATATATATAGATAAAAAAATCGGAGTCTCTCATTCCTGGGCGCCTCGGCTCTTGAGAAACTCGGCGAGCCTCTGTCTGCCCAGGTCGCGCGCCAGCCGCAGCGGCGTCCTGCCCCGGCCGTCCTCGGCGTCGAGTCGCAGCCCGTGCCCGCGGTCATCGCAGATCCTAAAGATCACCTGGACCAGTCGGTCGCCGAGGCGCGACGCCGCCGCGTCGTCGGCGGCGCGCGCGCACACCGCGTGCAGCGGCGTCGAGCCCGCGCGATTGGCCAGATTGGGATCGGCGCCGGCCTTGAGCAGCGCCACCACCACGTTGCAGCAGTCGTCCACGCGATTGCGGCCCTGCAGCGCCAGATGCAGGGGGGTGTCGCCCGTCGCGCGCACCGGGCTGTTGGGATCCACCGACTCGGGCCGCTGAAGCAGGAATCGGCGCACCACCTCGTACAGGCCGAATTGGCAGGCGACGTGAAAGTGCGTGAGGCCGCCGCCGGCACTGGTCTCGTCCCGATAATTCGCCTCGTACTTGTTGTAGATCTTGAACAGCTCGCCGATCACGCCGCTCTTCTTGAGGAAGCGGCTGCATCGGGCCGCGCGATGTATGGGCGTGGTGCGGCACACGATTATCTGGTCGTCCTGGATCTTCTCGGGCTCGTCCTCGTAGCCGGCCTTGACCATGAACCTGATGATGGGGTGGCCGCGATTGTACGGCGTCGGGTACTTGTCCTTCAGATCCTCGAGTATCAGCAGATCGATCTCCGCCCGGGTGAAGATCAGTCGCAGATCGGGGAAGCGCCTCTTCCAGTCGAAGATCAGCGGGTAGAATTTACGCAGGAATTCCCGGCGCTCCTTGTCGACCGTCAAGTTGACGCCTTGCAGGGCGTTTATCAATCCTTCCAACTTCTTGCGAGACTCTTCGTCGTCGTCGTCGTCGTCGTTCTCGTCGTCGTGGCTCGATTCGCTCTCGTCGCTCTCCTCTCCGTGTCTGTCGTCGTCTGGATTGACTTCCTCCGGATTCTCGTAGAACTCGGACGTCTCGGAAGTCTCGGAAGTCTCGGACATTTTGGGGCACCCGCTACGGGAGATACACCGGACGCACACACACAGGTAAACAACACCAACAGTCGCTTGACACGATATAACGCAAGAAGATACTTTTTGGCTGTTGACGCTGCGGCGTCGTAACGTGCTCTGACTATTGACATACGAACGAAATAACGTAGGATTCGTATGTAGGTGAGAGTTGACACGTGATCGCTAACTCGCGACAAGAGGGATCCGAGAGGGTAAAGGTAGGGATGCGGCCAGCGTATCCGTCTGGTTGTTGACAATCCGATTTCAGATTTTCAAATTCGGTTCGTGACGTCGCACATCCCTACCTTCGTCTCTTATACGGCGATACGTATCGTTTGACGGTGCGAGCAAGCCGCAGAGCAACATTAGAAGCCAATTTTTCGATCCTTAGAGCCTCGAGGGATGAAACCGGAGGGCTAAATTTTTATCTATCGGAATTATCATTTTTTAATATACTCTTTCGGATGAGTCGTGTTCGGTACGCTCTTGCGTCTTGGTTTTCGAATGATATGCGATACCCGCGTCCCATCTGTGTATACCCGGGGATGTGATTTTTATTTCATTATTATTTTTGTCATAGTCGTGGTTGTTATACTCGAGCGACTGAACCCCTTAAATATAACGTGTTCGTTTTTATGCTTCCAAGTCTAAAATTGAATTCCCCACTGTTTTTCTCGAAGAACTCATGATGCTTTAACCGCATATCACCGCCCAACTAACAAGATATACATGCATCGTGTGTTAAGCTCGACTAGTTGCACCTTGTACTAGTACCCTGAAAAATGATCTTCTTCTCGCGGGTACGAGTTTTCATGGGCGCTGCGCCACCTGGCGGTCGAGTCGGAAGGTTCGAATTGTATAGGTGGATCGAGGTGACGAAATAATGAGGCGAGCTGTTTAGTTTGACTATTGAACGCAGATTGCTCCTAGTCAAGAATCTCCGAGATTCGTTCGAGACCGATGACGAATGTGCAATGCGCTCCAATATATCATCACGGAGAAGACTGGCGGTGTGTTTCGGCGGGAGTCGGAGAGCGACTTCTCTGTGTTCTTATCAGAGTCGGAGAACGAATTAATTATTTTCGATAAAAATATCATGATATATACTACTCATACACGTGAATGCGTTGGTATCTTTCAAGTCCTCGTTTTGGTTTACAACAACTAGAATATTCTGCTTGTACAGGATTTTTATTACATTTTGTTGAATTTCCTTTTTGCATCATTAAAATCATTCATTACATTTTCTTACTATCCAAATTTCCGTTGCTGATTTTATCGATTTTCTTTACGTTAAATCGATATCGTTTGATCTCATCGGCTATTAACTTTTACACTTACAGTTGCGTCAAATTAGTAGTTGATACAGTTTTATCATTCGATTTGTTATAAATCGTTGCGTACTTTACAGTAGATACAGATATTTGATGAGTCTTTTTCGCGATAATTTGTGTCTTCAATTCTTTCTTCCTTTGCGATTTCTGGCGTTTTAAATTTTTCAAAAATGCACTTCGCTTGTCGTATTTTTGAAGGATGCCGCTTTAGCTACTGCAAGATTTCGTATGACTGTGTCCAAGACCTTGGACTCACTCAGCTGGTAGCTCTCAAAATTTTTAAATAAAGTCCAAGTACCAATAATGCAAAGAATCATAATTTGTTCCGAGTTATAATTATATACTTTGTCATGGCAATTATCAAATTTATTTAAATGTTTAGTTTTAAATAATCTGTCGTACTTGCTCCCGATACATATTTCTGCGTCGACACTGACGACCAACGATGCCGCGAATCAATAGTCTTTGAATTAACTTATTATCAGAAAAAAATATCGCTGTTTTAAGAAATCTACAATTTTATGTCAACCTATTTTTTATAAGTATTTCTTGCAGTTTTAAGTAATCGCCTAATTAAATTATACACTCTTATACAATCATTCTGAATAAGGAGAAATTTATTTGAAAAATTACTTAATATTTATAAAAAAAGTAAATTGATCTGTTTCAATAACTAAAATTAATTGTTACGTTCGCCTAACTTCGCTCAGCTTTGTGCAACGAACGTTGCGACTAGTTTTGAAGCTGTTTTATACAACATTGAACATACGTTTAATCAATTTATTTCGCACTAATGCGTGGGTGATGTGCTATTTGGTGGTCTTTGAGATTTCTTTTCTGTCCGAACATCTTTCCGCATGTCTCGCATGCATGAGTAATACCATTATGCGATAATTTGATATGCTTATTAAGATGAGATTGGTATTTAAATTTTTTTTGACAGAAATCACATGGATGGGTGATTCCATTGTGCTCCGCATCTATATGCTTTTTGAGACTACTTTTGTTTGAGTATATCTTTCGGCATTTATCACATTCGTGGGTTATTCCATTGTGCATCGAATCCATATGCTTTTTGAGACTACTCCTGTCTGAGAATGTCTTTCGGCATTTATCACATGCGTGCCTCATTTTACGATGCATCGAATCGATGTGCTTTCTGAGATTACTCTTGTCTGAGAATGTCTTTTGGCATATATTGCATGCATGTCTGACCCTATAATGCACCGATTCGATGTGGGTTTTTAGATAACCCTTATCTGAGAATGTCTTTTGGCATATATCGCATGCATGTCTGACTTCATTATGCACTGAATCACTGTGTATTTTAAGATTACTTTTATTTGAGAATGTCTTTAGGCATATATCGCATGAATGCGTGATTTTACGATGCACCGAATCGATGTGCCTATTGAGATGACCTCTTAGTTTGAACACTTTTCCGCAAATATCACATGCAGGTATGATATTACCATTACGGACTGATTCAGTATGAGTTTTGAGCCTATGTTTAGAGTTGACCTCTTCTGAAACACATCCTGTTTCATTTTTCTCGCTGAGTCCACGTCCTGAATTTAAATCAGATTCTTCTTCCTTCAAAATTTCTTTCTTCAGCACCGCGACAGTTTCTAATTTAATTTTGCTTCTATTTTTATACTCATCACTATCCGGATATTGATTGGGAGAATAAACTTCAATTTTCACAACTGCCAATAAATTGGGCTTCATGTCTGTACATTCCATTTCGATTTCCAGGTCGTCAAGTTCATTTTTATGATTTTCGTCGTATTCTTGAAGAAGCTCTTGGGTCTGAAAAAATTAAAATTATTAGGAAAGTTTCATTAATGATAGTCAAACGTAATTATTAAAGCTTACTGAATTTTCTTCCCGAAACATCACGCATTTAACATTTTGAGTAACGGGTGTTGCGTCAATTATTTTGTAATCATTATTATCATTGAGGGGCTCATCACAAGGCTCTTTTTTTACTCTGAAATAGATTTGATAAGATTACATGATTATGTTCAAATATTTTCTTATTTTCATACTCAAAATAAAAATTACCTAATAGCAGGATTGAATACGTTGCTCGAGTCCATCTTGCTGGCTGGAAATGTTATTTGCGACTAACACAGTTCAATAACATTTACAAATCATGATGTGGAATTCGGAACTAGTATATAAATGAAGCAACTCAAGTTTCATAACAATAGGCAAATTACGTTATCGATCTACCTAATGAATAATAATTATTTTTCTATTCATAATATTTTATTTTCAAATAAATTAAAAATATATAAAAATGAGTTCATTAGCATTAATTATTTCATGTTCAAAAAAATGGAAGGATAATAATTCGTTCGCAAGAGATGGATTCGATGAGTTGATCCTGGAATTGGAATTACGGTTCTTTATACTCTGAGTTACATTCTTTAAGAAAGCTAAATACTACCGCACAAGCTGAAAAATTTAGCTCGTCAGCAATACTTTCGACGTTCGGAGCAGCCGAGAGATCGAATCTCACTAGATTTGCCACAGGACGTTACTTCGACGCTCATACCTCTGGATATTTCCAGAGAACCTCAATTAGACTCTCCTCCGAGGAGTCGCAAGGAGAGGCTGTGATGATAGTAATTCGTATACGACGGATGGTGATGATAACGTAGCAATTGAATTCCGAAGAACCACGAGAACGATCCAACGCGGCGGTGAAAGAACTCGAAGGAGAGTATATGCCTTTGTTTAGGCCATCGGCTTCGCACCGAGAGATCGTACCATAGCGAGAGAGTCGAGTCTGATACACTCAGATACACAATAGTGGAGAGATAACAAGTAACATCGAGTACGAAAGAACATTCATAAAACTTGTAGAGGCCGCGACTCCTCAAAAATAAAGAAAGAACGATATTGTAAGAAAAGAGCAGTCCTCTCGATTTCGGCAACTTTCCCTGCATTGGAAGTGTAATGTGGACGTTATTTATATCTTTCCGTATGTAACAGTGAAGTAATGTAACACATAGAAATTCATCATATAATTAATAAAATTTATTAATTGAGTCGTCTGAAGAGATACTCTTGATCTTACATTTTGATTTGTAACTTAATTCAACATAAATTTTAAACATTTATTAGATCGTATTGAGCGAGCGATGCGCCACATCGATGTGAGCTCTCAGATTTCTTTTCTGTCCGAACGTCTTGCCGCATGTCTCGCATGAATGTATGATACCACTATGCGAGGATTTGACATGTTTATTGAGATGAGTTTGATATTTAAATTTTTTTGCACATAAATCACATGTGTGGATGATTCCATTGTGCTCCGCATCGATATGGGCTTTAAGATTTCTTTTCGCAGTAAATTTCTTTGTGCACATATCACATGCATGCCTGACACCATTATGCTCTGATTCGATGTGACGTTTGAGAGAACCATTTTGTGTGAACTTCTTTCCGCAAACATTGCATTCATGCCTGACACCATTATGCATCGAATCGACGTGAGTTTTGAGATCGCCTCTTCGTGTAAAAACATTTCCGCAAATATCGCATGCATGTCTGACACCATTGTGAATCGCTTCAATGTGAGCTTTACGATTACTCTTGCCTGCGAATGCCTTTCCACAAACATCACATGCATATGTGACACCATTATGCACCGAAGCGATGTGCTTTTTGAGATAACCCTTGTCTGAGAATTTCTTTGGGCAAATATCGCATGCATGACGGACACTATTATGCACCATATCGATATGGATTTTGAGATGACCCTTCCGTGTGAATGTCTTTTCACAAATATCACATGCATATGTGACACCATTATGCACCGAAGCGATGTGCTTTTTGAGATAACCCTTGTCTGAGAATTTCTTTGGGCAAATATCGCATGCATGACGGACACTATTATGCACCGAACCGATATGATTTCTAAGACTACTCTTGGCTGAGAATGTCTTTTGGCATGTTTCGCATGTATGCCTTATTTTACGATGTACCGAATCGATGTGCCTATTGAGATGACCTCTTAGTATGAACACTTTTCCGCAAATATCACATGCATGTGAAACATCATTATGCACCGAATCGATGTGAGTTTTGAGATTACTCTTGGATGAGAATGTCTTTTGGCATATATCGCATGCATGCCTTATTTTACGATGCACCGCATTGATGTGTCTTTGGAGAAAACTCTTAAATCTAAATGATTTTCTACATACATCACATGCAGGTGTAACATTGCCATTACGGGCTGATTCAGTGTGAGTTTTTAGCCTATGTTCGTAGTTCATCTCTTTTGAAACATTTCCTGTTTCATTTTTCTCGCTGAGTCCACGTCCTGAATTTAAATTAGATTCTTCTTCGCTAAAAATTTCTTTCTTCACTGTCCCGTCAGTTTCGAGTTTTATTTTGCTTCCGTTTTTATAAACATCGCTATGTGGCCTGAAATTTGGAGAATAATCTTCAATTTTCGCCACTGTCAATAAATAGGGCTTCATATCTGTACATTCCAACTCGATTTGCAAGTCGTCATTTTCTTGATATTCGTCATATTTTTGAACCTCTCGGGTCTGAAAAATATTAAAATTATGAGGGAAGGTTCATTAAAACTTAACCGCTATAGTCGCCAATAATTATTAAATCTTACCAAGTTTTCTTGAAGAATCATTTCGTACTTGACATTTTCAGTTACGGGTATCTCGTTGATGGTTTCATAATTATTTTGGGTAAGCAAATCATCACAAGGCTCGACTTTCACTCTGAAATAATATTAATAAGATCATAAAATTACGTTTTAATATTTTTATGACTTCATCCTCACAAAATAAAAATCACCTAACAGCAGGATTGAATAAACCACTAGTTTCCATCTTACACGTTGGAAATGTCTATTGCGACTCACTCTGTCAATACTACCGTTACGAGTCGAAATAGAACTCAAACTGATCTCAATAATATTTACTAATTATGATATGGAAATAGGAATCAATATAATCGGGGCAATATTACACTCGATCTGCCTCGTGAACAACAATAACTTTTCCACAAATAATATTTTAGTACGAAGAAATTGAAAATTAGACATCAAAAGTTGGTTTCTTATAATTGATAAAACAATGAAAAAAAAGGCTCATCAAGATGCAATTTTCATAACGATTACAGATTACCTTATTTCAAATCTTATACTGGTTTTTTTATTACATGTCCCCCGGTGTAAATGTCAAGTAATTATTTACTGTGGAAAAATATCACGCTTAACATTTTGTATAAAATAAACGAATTGTTCGCTGAGAATAAGAATTGTTCCCATTTACTTTTTAAGATTAATTTTTTTTAAGTTTATTATCAGTTCTATTAAGAGTTCCAAGGGGCTTAAAATCGAAAAAAATTTATTTCATTTTCGAGTAGGATTTTAATCCTCTTTCATAGCATTTTTGGAAACTTCAAAATGTTGATCATTGACTGAGATACAGCTGTTTCTGTGAGCCATTTTCGTATACATTACGTGTTAAATTTTTTCTTCTTTTGCGTTTTCTATGGCGTTTTTTTGTGACTGCCTTCATGAATCTACTAATTGAAAGTGACCTATGAGTTCGATCACCTCGCTACGCTCGGGCTGCAAACTTGACACTCGTGCAGATCGAAAACATCCCGCCCCTGTTATGCGTAATCTATGATTTCGATTATATCAGAGCATTCGAATTAATTCTAATTAACTTACAAGCTACTTCTACATAGTCGAGCTTCTCAAACAATTTTTCAGATTTACCTCCCATCGTCGGAACGATGCCAATTTTTCAAAATGTTTTGGCGATTCAATTTTATACCCTTTACAAAAATATACTATTTGGAGATATTCAACTTTAAAGGTTTTCCAGCGATTTTTCCGAAGAAAACGGAAAATTTCTGAAAATCTGATCTCGCTATCGGAAAGCTGAAAAAATTTGCTATAGAATATAAATTTAAGTTAGTTATTTTTTCTGAGCATATTTTGATACTTTTCACGTAAGTTAAAAACGGAGTGATTTCATTTAATTGGGCAGCACAGCGAAGCGCGCTGGGACACATATCATGAAATGCCTCATATATATCTGTAGTGGAAAGGGCTAACGAGATATCTCCATTTTTTTCGAAATCGAGTTTATGAATATTATGACATAAATTACCTATAAGTTATGTCTACTTTAAGGTACAAGTGTCACAAAAGCTGAAAATAGAATCAATCGTTACACTAACATTAAAATTTCTTAATTATCAACTCACATGTAAATGTAAAACAATATTTTGTTTTTCATGATTGCCTAATTGTGGAAATTAAAAGGAAATTAAAAAATTGATTTTTAATTAAAATTGTTTTATAATTGCTCCTAAATTTTAATTTGTATTATTGTTTGTATTAGTGCTTTATCAATAAATTAAATGAGCACTTTCTATAACTGAATAACCAGAGTTTTACTTTTGTATCAAAATCACTTTGTGGTTAAGAAAAAATATTTGGTTCATCATATTTGGTTCACCATAAAATTTTTCAGATTTACCTCCAATCGACGGAACTATGCCAATTTTTCGAACTGTTAGCCCAAATTAAATCAAAGAAAAATATCTACGTAATATATTATAGAACCGAAAAACATTTTGACACTCATCCTCATCTAAATGGCATTCGCCAGTGCTGATCATTTTTACACGAACGAACTTTGAACTTTCATTTACCAATTAACAATGATTTCGAGTGTCTGAAAAATCCAATGAAGCGTACGTTTTTTTTAAATCTGATAAAAAGCAAAAATCATTTACTTTTAACAGAAACAGGACAAAAAAGTGACACTTCTACAGATTTGGCACTTCTTACTATTTTTACTTTCTTTTTCTTTTAAATCAACTTATTTATTTCGTCCAATAATTTATATACGATTAGCCTATTATTTTGCTTTTCTATCCTTTGGTTGTATTGCAATTTGCCTCGACGATTAAGTGGTTTTATAAGAGGAAAAATTAAGAGATTTTTATTAATTTACTGATTTAGTAATTTTTGTTTTTTGATGAAATGAATATCAACTACATTTAATATAACATCAGACACTAAAATATGAACGATTAATGTGTTTGCTTTTTGTGTAGATTGAACATTAAACCTTGTTTTTTTTTAATTCCAATTCGAATGATGTTTATATCACCTACTTTTGAAAAAAAATTTACCTCGTGCCAAAATGTTATACAAATATGCCATTTTTTTTTTAATAATTACCCATATATCGGCACAATTTTTATTCAAATCTTAAACAAGCTTGTTATTGAACATCTATATAAATTATTTTATGTATTCACAATTGTCAAGAAAAGCATCAGTGCTTTTCATTATTTCATTGATATACGCTATTTACTGAGAAACTATTCCAATCATATGTCTGTAATTAGTACGAAAAATTCGTTTATGAAAAAAATTATTCATAAAAACTGGAAAATATTTATGAAAAAAACATATTTATCACCCACGCAATCTTAATAAAATCTGGGAAATTTTATCTGATTTACTTCTGACTTCCCTTTTACAGTGGTCGCAATTTTAGCGACCGTCCTGTAAAGTTTTTTGGTGCCTTATCGTATCCAAATTTTTGCAAATTTCTTCTCGCAGTTGTCGCTTGCAAAATCATTGCGACTTTCGTGTACTGTTTTTTAGTGGGAGAGCAAATTACGTTCAAGTCCAAATTGCTTCTCGCATCTGTCACATGCAAAATTTTGAGGAACCTTCATGAACTGTCCTTTGGTGTCGGAGCAAATGTTGTTTTCGTCCAAATACTTTTGCGCACTTGTGGCATGCGTAATCTTTCTGACCGTCGTGTACTAATTTTTTATGTACTCTTAAATAGCTTCGATGTCCAAATTTCTTCTCGCAATAGTCGCATTCATATTCTTTGCAATTTTCATGTACTGTCTTTTGGTGGATGAGAAAAGTGTGTTTGTGTCCAAATTTTTTCTTGCAATTATCACATTCAAAATCTTTCCGACCTTCGTGGACTGTCTTTCGGTGTCTGATTAATTTTGATTTTACTCCAAATTTCCGCTCACACTCGTGGCACCTGTAATCTTTACGACCTTCGTGTACTGTCGTAAGGTGGGCGAGCAAATTCGATTTTAATCCAAATTTCTTTTCACACTTGTCGCACTCGTAATCTTTCCGACCTTCATGGATTGTTTTTTGGTGTTTGATCAAATTGCCACGTTGCCCAAATGTCTTCTCGCATTTGTCACATGGGTAATCTTTGCGAGCTTCGTGGACTGTTTTTTGATGTTTTATCAAATAGCTTTGAACCCTAAATTTCTTCCCGCATTTCTCGCATACGTAGTCTTTGCGGAATTCGTGTATTATCTTTTGGTGAAAGAGCAAATCCGATTTGTATCTAAATTGTTTCTCGCATTTATCGCATGCAAATTCTTTCCGACCCTCGTGGACTGTCTTTTGATGCAAAAGTAAGGTCGATTTTTTTCCAAATACTTTTTCGCATTTGTCACACGCGTAATCTTTGCGACCCTCATGGACTAACTTTTGATGCACAATCAAATTCGATTTTTGTCCAAATTTTTTTTCGCATTTCTCGCATACGTAATCTTTACGACCCTCGTGGACTATTTTTTGATGTTTGAGCAAATTACTTCGATCCCCATATTTCTTGTCACACTTGTCACATGCGTAATCTTTCCGACCTTCATGGACTGTTGTTATGTGTGTGAGCAAGATCCATTTATTGACGAATTTCTTCTCGCACTTGTCGCATGCTAAATCTTTGCGACCGTTATGGACTAACTTTACGTGTGTGAGTAAACTCTGCTTGCTTGAAAATCTCTTGGCGCACTTTTCACACAAGTAATCTTTGAAGACTTCATGGAATATTTTTTTGTGCTTGAGTAAAGTTGATTTATTTTCAAATTTCTTCTCACACTTATCGCACGTGAAATTTTCGCGATTTTTATGTACTAATTTTCGGTGTGTGAACAAACTCGATTTTTTCATATACGTCTTCTCGCAATCGTCGTATGCAAAATCTTTGTGGCTTTTGTGTTCTGATAATTGGTGTCTGCTCAAATGACTTCGGAACTCGAATTCTTTCTCGCATTTGTCGCATGAGTAATTATCTCGTTTATTATGAATTGTATCTCGATGTGCTATCGTGCTTGATTCTAGTGTAATTGCCTTCTGGCTAATATCACGAATGGATTTTTCGTCGTCTGAAACAACAATGGCATGTTCACTTGAATTTTCTTCAGAGGCAACTTCCTCTGATTTCTTCTCACTTTCATCCATTTTCGTACTTGAATTGAACGATGGATCTTTTTATTTAGTGTCACGGAAATTGAATGAGTAAAATTTCTTATTGTATTATTAGTTTCATCGGGCAATTCAACATTCGAACGAATTTCTTTCTATTATAAGCGTGATCAGTATTTGAGGGGCTCCAAAGTATTTGATGTCCAAACTGTTTCTGATCTTATTGTTTACAATTGAAATACTGATTTATTTGTTTATACATTATCCTTCCCAATTTGAACTAACATAAAATTCTAACTTGGTGACTATTTCTTTGAAGAATCATTTTGGACTTTTAAAACTCAAAATATACTTCAAAAAAGCCTTTTTTAAATATCGAGTATAAATTGATTCTCATACATTATATCATAAAATATAAAAAAATGTTAATTTTCGGCGTCATGCTCCTAAATCTGACACGGCATTTTCATACAAAGTCATTTCGGAGCAGTCCAAAAGCTGACTCAATTTCATATTAAGATGTATTATTTGTTCCATAATACAATGCTTTGTTTTGTTACCTTTTTTAATGTTAAAAAAATCATATTTTTAGGAAGAATCTCTTTGCTCATATGTATTGGCAGCTGTTTTCTTTTCCTCGTAAAATTTGATTGATTACGCCCATCAAATTTCATTGAAGGCTTTTGAAGATTTGAAAACATACTTTTAAGACAATATGTACTGCTTAATATTCTGTATCATTTTTTAGTCATTGAAAAAAAGTCACTCGGCGTTATCTTTTTCAAAAAGATGAAATCTAAAATGGGAAATATAAATTGCGCCATTCAATAACTGTTGATGTGCAACGCAAAATTCGATTAAAATGCATTCAAAATCAATAATGGGCAGCAGGAAAAACCCAAATTTATATCGTATATAACTTTTTTTACAAAACATGCACATCAAAAATAGGCATACCACTCGATTCTGCTACTCAAAAACCATTTTTTCCTATAATTTGGTGATGATTCATGGTGGGGTTCATTGGGATATTAGGATTTTACAAAAAAAAATCGTTGAAATAATAAAAATCAAGTTTAATTTTTGGTAAGAGCGTACGTAAAGGTCGGATAACGACGCACGCCATTAAGTGACATTTTTTCAAAAGTACAATTTTTTGATAAAAAATCTTGATGGGCCTTTCGATAATCAGAATTTGCAAATTAATAATAGTATGAGTTGAATTTCGAAATTCATGATAACGCCACAAAATGCATGTTTTTTTGTATGAATTTGTACTTGTGCTTACTTAGAAGTTAATTTTTATACAAGAGAAAAGTTGCAAATTTAACGTAAACATCGCCGAAAATGGTAATATTCAAATTTTTATACGATTATAGCGGAGTAGACACAAATATTATAATCTCACGAGATTTACCCATATGATCAGGAGTTCTTTCAATTTTGTAAAGTTATTATTGGCATTTAATATTACATTATATCGCCAGAGTATTTTTTCTGTAATCCGCTTCATTATTAGTATTATTATTACGATTTTTTTGGCAATTGATGAAAATTTACACAGCCACGAATGAATCGGCATTACTGAGGCCATCTGCCGACTGTTTCGCGCGTTGGCTCGCGAGTCGCGACTATATCGACATACATAGACGACTATTATCAAAATTTTATAATAATCGCGATCGAAGATATATCTCTCTCGATAAAAGAGCGCAACGAAACTTCAGATCAAGCCATCATTTTTCATATTTAATTAAAAAAATTATTGGTAAACTTATCGGTCGTCTTCTTTGATATCGACCGAGCACGAGATAACCGCATACAGCAGGTAGCAGCAGCGTACACGCCACTGAAAGCAGAAAACATTTTCGCGCCGGCTTATCAGCCGTTGCCGCCGGCGTCGTCGTCGTCGTCGTGTTTCGCAAATTTTAGCGGTATACAGTAGTACAGCACACGTTACAGTGTACGTAACACGTGCTCCGTTGTACGCCGGGCATTGTATACACTGTATGTACACAGCAGCTAGTTCTCCGCTGCTCGAACGACAACGAGTATATAATATATTATTATTAAAGTATACACGTGTTTGTGCGCGCAAAATTTTGCACAAAAACTCGAGCGTCTGTGTGTGTGCGTGCGTGCGCGAATAGTTCCAAGATGCCGCATCTTCCAATCGACGACTTTAGCGAGGTCATGGCGGAGCACCGTGAGCGCGAGGCAGCGGTGCTCGACCAGCTGCGCGTCTGGAAGGCCAAGCGCGAGGCCGCCGGCGGCGACAGCGGCTTCGCCGGCAAGGAGCGCGACTACGACGATCTGCTGAGGGATGCCGATCAGACTCTGTCGCTCATGATGGTCAGCTGCCATCGAGATGTACGTGTGTTTGTCGTTCCGATGACTCTTTTTGTCGCGCGTCTTTTGTGACAGCCGACGATGGATGTATTGTTTTTTATTTTTTTTTTTTCTTTAATTTTCAACCATGTCTCGGTTGTATAGACCAGACTGCACCTGCTGGAGTTCGTCGTCGAGTCGAAGAAGAGCACGAGGCCGTACAAGACGAAGGAGCTGGACCTGATCCTGCTGTACGTGACGCACAATCTACGCGAGGAGCTGCCGAACAACGGCCTCATCGAGAAAGTCAGTGTGTCGCTTCTGTGTGTGTGTAAGCTTACACGAAATTAAGGATACCAATGACGTTCGTTGTATTTTTAGGCGATCAAGAGGCTGAACGATAGCTTCAACGGACTCCTCAGACAATCCAAGAGAACGCAAGCCTCGGAGTCGTCGTCGTCGCCGTCGTCGACGTCGTTCGACGAGTACGAGATACTCAGCCAGGAAGTGCGCGATCACGTGGGCCTCTACGAGATCTTCATTCAACGCCTGCACAACGTGTGCATAAACAATATCTATCACGGCGCCGTGATGATTCGCAAGAAGAACAGCCTGAGGATACTGCTGATGATGAACACGATTCTGAACTCGCACGTGAACAAGTGGCTCTGGACCAAGCACAAGTTTGCTGTGCTGCTCGACTGCATCAAGTGGGACAACTACGACGCCATCAAGAGCATCGCCTACGAGGTCGTCAAATCCAGTAATTATATCAACAAGTACTTTCAAGTTATGGACAATAAGTTTTATATAGAAATGAGAAAGGCTCTGACGTTGGCGAATCGAAGAACGCCAATCAGCGTGACTGGAGCAGCTTTCATGCTGAGGACTCTCATATTGGCAGATCCCATTGAAATATACTTTAGTGAAGACGATGCATTAGAAGACTTGGAGGTGGAAGAAAAAAATGCTTATCTTGTAATAAATCGTTTGAAAAATACTTTTGAGGTCAGTGTTTTATTTTTATTCGTGTAATATCTTAATATTTTTAAACTTAATAGTTTATATTGCTTTGTAATAGGAAAATGTTAATTTGGCAACGAGAAATATTTTTCAAGCTATCACTCAATCTTGTTTGTATGGACATATTTTTTGTATACGCAGCATTTTAGAAACAATCAACTTAAGGTAAAAATTACACGTTGTCTTGTACACGTTAATGTACTGTGATCGATACACATCAGACTAAAAGTATGTCTCCATATGCTTCAGAATCTTGAACAATTGCGAAGTCTGGAAAGAGCTTATATCAGAAATAATAGATTTATGTTTGGAGCTGAACGAAGCTGTACTTCCAATTGTGCAAAATGCCAGTCCTGAAGGATTCATGCCAATAGATGTATTTGAAGAGACTGTCGACGTATATGATTACAAACCGATTGATCGTAAGAAAAAACGTAAAGAAGATAAGAAAAAGGGTTTTAACAGTGACGATGAGAGCGAAACAGAGTATGAAATTACTCCTCGGATGCTCCTTTTATGCTCCTGGAGATCCATCAAAGATACAAGTTTATTTTTTGGACACTTAATTTCTGAGGCTGACATTGATGATGAGGAGGACGATGAATGCCTATTGTCTCAAGATCAAGTAATTATTTGACTCCATGAGAAGTTCAACTCACTGTAAATAAATTACAAAAAATAAAAATTTTATTCTTTCAGGCATCGAGGATGGCCGAGAATCTCTTTCAGCTGGTGCGCGAGACGAAGCACCGTGGAGCTTTCGAGGTCTGCTCCGTGGCCTTCGAAAAAGCTTGCAAACGTTTCTGGCAGTTGCCGGCGAGCCACGAGCAGCTGAGCCAGATGCCCAAGAAATGGCTGCAGTCCGTCATGCTGGACATCCTCGAGCTCTCACTCGTGGACGACGATCGCGAAAAATTGTGCGCGACGAGACGAAGCGCCGGCGTGCCGTTCATGATACAAGCCATCCTCACCTCGGAGATTAGAAAAGGCCGCGACGAGAAGGATCTGCTGTTCCACGACGTCATGAAGCTCCTGCTCAAGATCATCCTCATTGGCAATCGCGTGGGCCTGGACGACAAGAAGTCCATCGCACGGGGCGAGCCGCTGTTCGCCGACTGCAGCTTAGAGAGACTCGACGAGCCGTTCGCGGACGCGGGCCAGATCAGAACCCACGCGCTCTTCATCTTGCGAGCTCTGTACAAGCACGCGAAATTGGGCGATCTCGTCAAGGACTACGTGGAGCTGGGATTCTTCGCGGCTTTCAACAGTTATACCGCTGACAATTGGGGTGTACGTTTTTTTTTTAATATGAATAACTATATTTGTATATTTCATTCGTGACCTTCTGGATTTTTCTCTTTTTGGCAGGAGCAAAACGCCGCGACGATATTGTTCAGCGCGCTGATGTCTCGCGCGTTCGGCGTTCAGCTCACCAAGGACCACGTCAACGTGAACGTGAAGAACAAAATGACCGTCGACACCTTCATGCTGGACTTTCCGAATTTGATCCTGTACATGCTTCGAGAGTTGAGCAGCGCGTCGGTCGAGCCGAGCGCCAAAGTGCAGTCGTTGCTGCTGCTGGTCACGCGAATCTATCCGAAAAAATACCTGCCCGATACCTACATAGATCAGACCGTGAGTTCTTGTGCATAACGATTCAACGAAGCGAAAATACAATTTTCTGTTCTCTCGCAGCTGCACAAACTGTTCGAGCTGGTGCAACGATGCGCTTGGAACAAATCCTACCAGACGCGCGAACTCGCCGCCAGAGCCGTGGTCGCTCTCATGATACCGGAAGACGTGGCGGTCGTCGTGCCCGACCTGTTCAAGAGAATCATGGGCCAGCCGCTGTCCTTGAACGCGACGCACGGCTATCTGCTTCAAGTGAGATACTAAAATCGTAAAATTTTTTGGCCAACGACACTCGATCGTTAACGTTATTATTTTTCTGCACACCCACCCCCGCGTACAGTTGATCGAGATCTTCGGCTGTCGTGAGTTCAAGATCGACCGCGTGGACGCTCAACTGACCCTGGATTTCATCGATTTCGCGCGCGAGCGCCTGATGATGTCGATCGACCAGCAACAGTACGAGCACGAGGCGCAGCAGCAACCCTGCTACGCGATCTGCCACGCGTGCGTCAAGCTGCTGCGCAAGATCTACGAGGCCGGCTCGGCCAAGACGAGGGAGTGGCTCGTCGGCCAGACCTCGTACCTCGACCTGGTGGACATGTCCACGGAACTGCTCGTGAACAAGATCAAGCCAGGCCCCCACATCGAGCTGTTTCAGGCCGAGGTGATCAGGCTCGCCCTGGCCCCCATCGAGGAGCCCGCCTACCAGCTGGAGGTCGTCAAGGGCCGTCACGAGGACGCGTTCGCCGCCAAGTTCTGGAAGCAGATGCTCGGGCACGAGAACGCGGAGGTGAGCGAGCTGGCCTGGAACCATCTGATGGTGCTGATGAAGCACAACGGCAGGCGGCTGGCCGCCATGGCCATGGGCCAGACGATGCGCGCCATACTGAGCACCGAGCACGACCGCAAGGTGCTCAGCCAGGTCTACCAGCAGGCCAGCTGCATCGTACGGATCTACGACGCGCTGCTCAACAAGTGGGGCTTCATGGACGACTCCGCCGAGGAGATGGGCGTCAACGTGCCGTTCGCCGGCACCTTCTGCCAGGTCGTGGATCTCTCGCAGGGCAACTCCAAGTTCAAGCCCAGCCGCGGATACTTCGTGCTGCTCGAGGTTTTTCACCGGACAATAGTCCAGCTCAATCGTAGAAGCGTGAGTGTAGTTAGATCGTAGACTTTGATTTTTGAACGATTGAGTTTTAACGATCGCGGAAATTTTCTCGTTTCTCAGTTGCACGACGAAGACGCACTGCTGGAAAGAAAAGAGTGCATTTACCGATACTTCAGGGAGAACTCCGAGCCCGACGCGCCCGTCGAATTCCGCGATATAATATCCAAATTGATGTTCGATTCCGTCCTCTACAGCGAGCTCAAGCCGATTTACGGCAACTGTAAGTGCACGACTTGGCGCGTCGAAGAAATTAAAAAGAAAAAAAAGATTATTTATTTTCGCCCTTCGCCCCTCCCTCAGATACGGACATAAGCTTCCACTGGTGGACGACTCTGCTGAATTTGCTGTTCGACGAGAAGCCGAGCATACGCGAGAACGCCAGGAACGTGGTGCGAAGATTGGCGCCGTGGCGCGATAGGTTCTACTGCGAGTCGCTGGTGCTCGAGCAGTTCTTCGTCGCCTTCTGCCGGAAATTCATGCCGGAGCAGCCCCAGCTGGCGGCCAGCATCATGTTCATTTGGACGATGAAGGCCGTGCCCTCCGAGACCACGGATAACTTCGAGCAGGACGTGAGTACACTCGCTTCGATGCAAACAGTTTTTATTTTTCGATTTATTTATTTATTTATTTTTTTTTTGTCGCTTCAGCATCAGTACACCGGCGAGAATCACGAGGCGCTCGAGCCGCTGCTCATCTCGGAACTGTGCGCGGCGAGGATACGCGAGATGAAGTCACTCCGTAAGAACTGCATCTTGACCGTGGAGATGAAGCAGTTGCTGATGATGGAATTGGACTTCGGAACCGACGACGAGTTCGATACTCTCAAGGAGTACGTCAGCCTGTGGCAGCTGCTCAAGTACGAGGAGACGCCGAGCGAGTTCGGCCGGATGAATCACCACGTGAAGCCGGGCTGCCCGAGCGAGCACGTGCGCAGGGTGGCCTTTAAAAATTTGCGCGACGCCCTGCAGTTCGCCGGCGGTTGGGATTTGCAGGAGGGCGCCAAAGAACCGTCCACGCCGCCGTTGGCGTACGAAGACGCTCGCTCGGACGACGAGTTCGTCCTGTCGTCGACGGAAGTTTCGATGGAAAAGAAAGAAAGTGATGGTGATAGCGATGATGATAATGATGATGATGATTATCACGATGATGATGTTGATGATGATGATCTTGATGCATCCCGACTATCGGACAACAATTCAATGGAAGATGATGGGTCGTACAAAGATGCTGTAGCCACTCATTCGGATTATGACGATGAACCGATGCCCGGGCCATCGCGCGATTTTACCATCAAAAAGAGGTCGTCATTAACCAACGAAGATGATTTATCTGGTAATTTGGATGATGTTGACGACGACGACGATGAACCAATGCCCGGACCATCACGAGACCGATCAGTAGGAAATGAGTCGGCATTAACCAACGAAGATGATTTATCTGGTAATTTGGATGATGATGATGATGATTATAATGATGACGATGACGATGACGATGAACAAATGCCCGGACCATCGCTCGATGGTTCAATAAGAAATGAATCGTCATTGATCAACGAAGATGATTTATCGGGTAATAATTTGGATGAAGACGACGACGATGAAAATGATCGCAATTCGTTTATAGATATAGAGCAGGAACTGCTGTTGGGAGCCGAGTATGATCTGGAAGGCCTCGGTGAATCCAGATCCGGGTTATCAGGGTTATCGGTTCCATCGGGCGAAAATTCAGTAGAAGCTGGATCGCCGTTAACGAACGAAGATGCCTCGTCTCGATCGTCGCGCGAAGCTTCGATCTAAGGGGAAAAATGGAGAAGAAGTACAAAAAGGGGGTCATCGACGATCCCTCGTATCTTGTAAATATTATATAGTTCGAACGATCGTTTGTTTATTTTATTTTTTGTTTTTATTGTAAAGTAAGACTGTACAAAGCCTGTAAATTTTATACCTCGAATGTTAAGGATATGTTTTATTTTTAATTCAAAAACTAGCGCGCTTACGTACACACACGTACTAGCCACTCCACCGGCTTACATGTATATATCTATTATATTCAAGCTAGCACGTTGTTTCACTATACGAGATACACAGCGAGCGAAATTCCCTCGGGTTCTGTTTATAAACGCGGCGAGGGCCGGTATAGAGAGAATCTCTGCGGCTGCCTGCCTGCGCGCAGGCGTGTGCATTATGCATTTGGATTTCGGTGCTGCTGCTGCCGCTGCTCACGGACAATCGGCCAAGACAGCGCGAAATAAGCGAGCCTTTTACGAGTGTGTGTGCAGCGGCAGCGAGTCTCATGTCTTATTCAGCCGCACATCCCACATTATTGTACAGTACGAGAGATTTCGTTGTTACGGAGTCTGAAAACTTGTCTCGCATGATAATAAGCGCGGCAGTTGTCTGTTTCGAAGCCAAAAAAAAGAAAAGGTGGAGTGGCAGTGGTGTTGGTGCATTTAATAAAAAATTGAATCGAATGGAAACGTGACGTTGTACGGAATTTTTTCTCCTCAACCCTGACACACACACACATGCCATTCGCAGCTCTAATCTCTACCATCATCGCTCGCGTTCATCCTCATATAAACCACACATCTATTTTCGCCCTCGAAGATAATCATCGATTCGAATCGTATAAATGTACAAATGGTCAACGACCCGCCGCCGCGTCGATAATCGTATACGCGCGCAAAAATCCGTTACGTCTCTTCCACTCCGCGAGATGGCGTTGCTCTGCCCGCCCGCAGCCAGTTTATATGCATCGCATTCTCAATGGTAGTTAGTATCCTACCCCATGGTACTTTCACGCTCTCGCATCGCGGCGGGCGGGGGGGTCCGCCCGGCCGATACACGCAGACTCCGTTTTCTGCAGCAGCCTCGGCGAGCAGCACCGAGCGCTCGGCGTATTAGTGTGCGTGTAACCGTGTAAGTATTAAGCTGTACGCGCGCGCGTATATATACGTTCTATATAGTGTTATACGTTGTGCGGAGAACGCCGACTCGAAAGTGCTCGAGAGAGAGAGAGAGAGAGAGAGAGAGAGAGAGAGAGAGAGACTTGTCAGTTGGGGCGGCGCGCATACACACATACACATAACACGGACACACGAGTCTAATACTGTGCGACGACGAGGACTACACACGTGCGCTGTGCTGGTACACACTACTGCCAATGCCCCGTGTTATATATATCTACCATAACATCAATCGCTGCTGCTGCTGCATCTCTCCCCACTCCTTCGAGCTCTCCGTCTGATTTCGGAGTTATGTATACATGCACACACAGGCGCGCATTACACAGTGACAGTCGTAGTGGCGCGCACACAACGACGCAGCGCAACACAACACCGAGCACACGCACAGTGTCTCGTCGCGCGTTTGTTGATTGTTTTTGTTTTCGAACGCCTTTCATTTTTGTTTTGATGTCATTTTTCTCCCTCTACTCCGCAACTCCGCTCATCTCGTCTTATAAAATTCGAAGTCTCGTCGTATCAAATGCTCGCGTACGATTGTAATATTATTATTGCATATCGCGAGTAGCGTATCGGAGCGGATCGAGGTGCATACACGAGACGAGACGAGAGAGCGCGAATTTAACCTCGAACCCTGCGGCTGCTGCTGCAGTTCAGTCTCCAGTGTTGTCTGTGTGTGCAGAACACAGTGCATGTGCTGCTGCTGTTGTGCGTGAGGAGGAAAAGAGAGAGATTCGACTCTCCTGTGGCTGCTGCGAGAGGAGGAAGAGGAGAAAAAGGTCGTGTGTCTGCGAGTGCGTACAAATACATATAATAATAATACGAGAGATAGTATATAGTAGCAAGTACTCTTTGCTGTGCGCGAAATACGCGCAACCCTATATCTATATAGTGGAAGCAGCATGTAAAAGCGGAGTGCCGTGCGGTGCGGTGCGCGCGAGGAAGAGAGAGAGAGAGAGAGAGAGAAAAGTGCTGTGCTCTCACTCCGCAGAGAGTAGTGTTGTATATACCGTGCGCTGCTGCTATACCGCTGCACACGGCGCCGCGCCGACAAATGCAGCTATATGTATACAGAGATATGCAAGTATGAAACGTGCATGTGCAGCAGCACACAACGACAACGACGTTGACTCGGCGAAGGCGTGGAAAGTATACATGTAGACGAACGACGACACTAAAAACTTTTCTCTCTCTCTCGTTCTCTGTTGTTGTGGTGCTGTGTGTGTGCGCTGCAGAGCAGAGAGCCAGAGAGCAGTGTGATGTGCTGCTGCTGCAGCAGCGGTGGTAGTGGCGGCGGCAACGGCGGCGCGTGTGTATAATGTGTTTTATAATATGTGCAGCAGCAGCAGCAGCAGCAGCGGTGCTCCGATTATGTCGTCGTTGTTGTTGTTGTTGATGCCACTGACGTTGTTGTTGTTGTGCAGTGGCGATATTAGCATCGTGCCGATGGAGAAAAGTGTCGTTGTTCCATGAATAGCCAGTGAAAATATATACAACCGTCGTTCGAATATCCTGGGGTGTGTTCCAATATTCAAAAAAAAAGAAAAAGAAAAGAAGATAAGGCCGTTTAAGAGGCTGGAATATGTTATGATATTTATTAGTTTATAATTGATCGTGCATCGTTGTTGTGTGTGGTGTGTATGTGTATTATTATTAAAAAAAAGTGCGATCTGTGCAAGATTCAGCTGAATCGAGACAGAAGAAATCAGCACGAGAGCGGCGGGTTTTTTTTCTGCTCTCCCCGTAACGACACGTTGGTGAGTCGAAACACGGATTCCTTACGTTAAATGTTTACAAATAATATCGAGCATTGATGTATCGTACGATACAATAGCTCGAGTTAACCGTGCAACGCACCGATTTTTTTTTCCCTTTTTTTTTTTATCATCGTCGTCATTGTTGTTGTTATTGCCGAGCGATCGAACACTATATGCGGAGATGCCGCATGCCTCGGGGTGAAAGACCTACTTTCTTTCTCCTCTCGCGCTAGGAAATTACGTTATATTATATTGTTATATCTATCTCGCGCAATATTCGAACGAATTTCTTTATAACATATAGTACTGGACGCGAAATAAGGTATGCTCGCGTTTCGTACCTTGAAAGATGACTCATTCCAATTATAATATTTCGCCTTTCTCTCTCTCGCTCGTATACTCCGGAACGCGCGAGAGCGAAAGAGAAAGAGAAACGACGACGACGCGAATTCGAGACCTCTTCGAGACAGCGCATGGCGTATATAGTTGTACAGTTATTTTCTCGCTCGGTATTTTTTATTCATTCGTAATTTCACTCTTTGTTTTTTTCTTTCAATTGAAAAATCTCGTGGGGGTGTTGCATACAAAAAAACAACAACAACAACAACGATATACATTTTCAAGGCAGTTCGAGGACCTTGCGGTGTCATTGGCCCGGGCTCTGCACACATACACACACACGTGTGCCACACATATATACGTACGCGCAGTCCCTCCGTTTCTCTCAGTGGCCCTACAGCTCGCGCGCTGCTCCGTTTGTAAACGTACACCCTTTTTTACAGGCTCACAAGTTGTACATACAGAGAAAGAGAAAACCAACCCCCTCGCTCGGTTGGGCGGCTGACCTACTTTCCATCAAATGTATCGATATATGTACGCGTGTGTACCGTGTACGTCGGTCTTTTGTCGGGTCCGCGCGAATCCTCGGAATTGGTAATTACCATCGAGTGCGCGTACACATACACACACGCTCGCTCACGTGTGTATAGATCAGCATTGTATGTGACACGCTATTTTACAGTACTACTAAACGTGCAGCGCGCGAAAATCTTTGATCTCACCTTTTAGCGCTACATACAGCTATCTCTACGTTCAATTATCGTCGCCGAGTCAAAAGGAGAGATTTGCCATTAGGCGCGCGCACAGGCAATTACGAAACTAATTTCAAATGCTTTTAGCGTTTTTGGTCTCTGCGCGTGTTATGGTAGAGTAGCTGCACCAGCTGCTGCAACTATACTTGCTACTTCTGCTGCCGGATATGATAGAGAGTTTATTTTTTCAATTCTTTTTTATTAGTTTTTATCACATATATTTTTGTACCTTCTTCTTCTTCTTTTTTTTATTATCTCACCAACCCCCTCGAGAGAACTAACTCGAGTAATATTAATTGGCACGATCGTGAAGAAAAAGAAAAAAAGCGTCGGGAAAAGATTGTCGTTTACGAATCCGAGCCTACGAGGCTGCAACAGGTATATATAATACGCATCCTAGGCTCTCCCACGACCAGAAGGTCATTATAAAAAATATCGATAAGCTATAATTTATTCAATTTCCAAGCTATTCTCGCCCGATGAGAGAATGCAAATTGTCCTTCCATCGTCCTCTCTCTAGCGCGCGCGAGCCTTTTACATAATAATATTTAACGAATGAGTCTGGTTTCTTTACTTTTTTTTATTTTTTTTTTATTTTTTTTACTTCGTTCATCGTGTTCGTCACCCGCGATTTCTTAGATAAAAAGAAAGAGAAGTTACAGCAGCTCTAGTATACAGTACATTTTAAAATTGATTAACGCATCATGTGCGAGCAGAGAGCTTTTACAAAAAATTGCGCACTCGTGCGCGCCTCCTCGCATGCAGCAGCGGCAGCGCACGCCCCAAGATTGATGATGATTTTAACGCAGCAGCAGCAGCAGCATGAGCTAGGAGCTAGCTCCAAGATTTAGTGCCGCGTGTGACGAGGCTTGACGAAAGTGAAAAAAAAAAATATATATATACGTGTGTGTGTGTATAAAAGGCACGAGCGGCATCGTTCTAAACGCCTCTCGGCTGCCTCGTGGTAATAATAATAACGCGAGTACGAAGTGATATAATGCCCCGCTGGATGACACGTCCCACGCGCGTCATTTCTTTAAATAATGATAAAAAAAATACATCTATGAGCTATATCGTACGAAAATAAAAATTACGAGACCGGAAGGTATATCTTTATGCGCCTCGTTGTGTTTCTTTCCGGATCCGGAATCGGTATAGTAAACAACGCCCGCGTGGGTGTGGATTACCGATAATTTTAGATTGGCTAGATCGTAATATACTCATCCGCGTGCGATGCGTTCTTTTGATTATCGAATAGCCCTCGTTGTGTGTACACGGGCACACACGCGATTTTTTTTTCGTGCACCGAAAAAACCAGACGCGCGCGCACGGCGATTCAACACCACTCGAGCTAAATGAAAGACGAACAAAAAGCACGGGAAAAAAAGTAGGGAAAAAAAAGCCGCTGCGCTCAGCAGCGCAACGCAGCACAGCCTCGACGGCCTAACACCCAAATAATTTATGCGTCGTCACGAGTCTGAAAAAAGCAGCAGCAGCAGCCAGTATACCCGCTGCGTTCGGAACGTGCTTATATGAATGGAAAGAGCTTTTCACACACGTTGAGCTTTTTTTTGCTCTCTCTCTCGCTCCTTTCAAGTCTGCCACACACACACAGAGCCTATACACGTATCGGAAGCTCGAGCTGCGTGTGTACGCTATACACATATATCTTCCTTTTTTTTCTCTCTCGTTGCCGCTGCTCTCTTTGAAAAAGAGGTCCTGCGGCAGTTTTTCATAAAAGAGCCGACGACGACGTCGAGGTCGATAATCGTAATTGTCCCGAAGAAAGAGGCGAAAGTTTATGGTTAGCACGTTTCGCTACCCTTTCGCGTTGTATGTGTATCCTCCTCTTCTTCTTCATCTATTTTTTTCACGCTATAACCATACGTTGAATTATGAAAAGAGCCGTCGCGCAAGAGCGTGCAGTCGATCGCGTATAATACACGGGAAAAAGGGGTTGTTACACAGTTGTGTGCACACACACTCCTACACACTCTATATATGACGAACTAATTAGGTGAGAAAATATAACAAGCGCGGGTGTGAAGTGTGAACGCGTCAGAGCTACCCCCGCACGAGCGGGTTTTCGCGCGCGTCTGGCCATTTAATGAAAATAATCGCTTGGAATGGACCGTGTGATGTGTGTACATATAATAATAATAACGATAATAATGGAAACCGAGTTCCGAGTGGTATAGGTACAGAGCTCGTTCGAGCCTTTTTTCCATCCTATACATAGTCGTAGCCAAAGCACATTATTATTCGGCGAAAGGCCGAGAGGGTATAAAAAAGGAAAGAAGAGAAAAAGACGTCGATCTCATCGAGTGTAACGAAATCGCGCCGCAAATAGTAGCCTGCGATATATGTATATTAAACCATCGCTGCTCCGGTGCTCCATTTTCGACGAGAGAGAGTGAGAGAGGTCGGATGCGTCAGCTTCCGGGATGGCTTTTAGGGTTGGTCGGATTGATTGTTATACCGAGACAGCTGAGAGTGTATATACAGACACACATACACACAGACAGACACACGTGCCTCTCTTTCTTCGATTCCCCATTGACCCTCTTTTTTTTCGCGCACACACGTCGTGGATGTATACTAGAGGCTTTATACGCCACTGCAGACAATGCGCTCGATGTATAGGTATATGACTTTCGCTACGGTCGCGTAACGACGTACATAATGTTTCATTCTTTTTTTTTTTCGTCTACCTTCTTTGTCTCATCGATAAAATAAAAAGCAGCGGTAGTAGCGACTCATCGTTCCGAATAAGTTGCAAATTTTATCGAAACACATGCTTGCTTACTGTGTGTATTTATTTTTCGTCCTTTCTTTCTCCATATTTATTATCGTACGAAAGATAGTATTCAAAGTGATTACTCAGCAATTGTTTCTCATTTAGATCTGTATGAAAGTATAAGAATAACCATATTTTTCTCATACATGCTAAGTAAATAATTGTAGTATCAGAAGTAATCTTCGACTGAAGCGTTCGTCATTTCTGCTACACAATGTAGCAACGTTGCTAAACACAGCATGATTTTTTCTTTGATCGTCCAGTAATGGTTATTTGATCGTCCAGTAATGGTTACTACTTTTATATAAAATGTATTACTGCATCGTAAATCGTAATCATATAGGTGAATTCGTGCAAATGACAAAGCATCGTATCCTGCATCCCGAGAAATTTGAAAATAGAAAAATTGACGTAAGAGGCAGCACCTACTTACATCGGTCAAAATTTAAAAATGAAAACAGAGAATTTTTTTAAAATAACAAGTAAACTCAATTGAATAGGACTCAAAATTATGGATGTCAAATCGGTTGTTGATACATATTCCATTATCAAAAGCTCGTTTGTGATTATTTTTTCATTGTAAGACGAAACGTTTACTCTTTGTTTGTTTGTGCTCATATTATGCTCTCTCATAAGCCTTCAATAACACAGAGTACATTATTATTTATTATAAAATGTTATCTTATGAAGTTCGTTGCAAAATCGTGCAAATATATCCACCAATGCAGCAGCTTTACATCAACGTTGTTTTGACTTTGAGTCGCCGCGTCTCAAGTTGTTTCTCAAAAGTGACGTATTTAGAGGACGGCGCGCATGTAGTATTGGCGACGCCGCGCGATCGCATGCCATTCCGCTCAGTTTGGTTTCCTCCGTGCAGCAGTAAGGACTATACGTCACGACGCCGCAACGAAAACAAAGGACGATCACGTCGACTGTAGCTAGTGATTTTCGTGTTGAAAAAAACCCAATTTTAAGAACAATAAGTGATTGCGTTTTCGTGAGTGGAACAATGGCCGATGATGATATAAATGACGCCGATACCTTACCCTACGATGAAAGCTACGAATTCGAGACGGGCGAGGAAAAGTCCGAACGATTAAAGAGGTTGCGAGAAAACGTCAACTGGGAGACCGAAGATGAACGACATGCATTTTTTCACCAATTCAAAGATATGACTAGCAACTGGTGGTACGATCTTCCGAATCTCAAAGACATTTTTCGACGCGAAGAAATGGATTGGATACTTTCAGAGTTCGTAAAATCCGACGACGGCAAGTCGGTGGGAGAAACTCTTGTCGATTTCGTGGTCAGGGCCGGCTACAGGGACGAGCCCGAATTGGGTGCGGACGGCAAGCCGTCCGCCCGTCGCACGACACCGCTGCATTATGCGTTTAAATTTGACACTTTTACTTACTGGGACATGTTGGTCAGTGATCTTTTTCTAATATATAACAGATTTGATGTGAACTACACCGACGAACGAGGCCTTACACATTTTCATTTGGCCTGTAAGTATGGCTGTGACGAAGCGGTGGAGACGTTTCTCGATCTCGGGCTTGATCTTAATCAGCTCGAAAAAGATACGGACTTGACTTTGATCGATCCGCCGCTGCATTTGGCTCTTGATCACCAAAGCGAGGAAGTGTTCAAATTACTGCTGAGACATGGCGCCGACCCGAATTCGGTCAATCAGTACGGAGAAACTCCTCTGCACATGATTTCCAGCTATGGATGGTTGATTGAATTTGAAAGAATATTGTTTGAAATCAGCGATGAAAAAAATCAGACGGTACAAGTCGATGCTCGAGACAGTGAAGGACATACACCTCTGTATCTAGCTGTGGCACATTTCCGACCAAAAATAGTCGAACTACTCTTGAATCGGGGCGCCGATATGTCAAATTTCGTTTTTCCCGAAAAATGCTTTGACGACGATGAACCGTTTGATTATCGCGGATACGATTCTGAATTGGTAATGGCATATCGTGTGCTAGAGGTCATCGAAATCGTCGAAAAAAGAGGATACCAACTGAATAGAAAAGATGGTTTTATGTTCACATTTTTAATCTATCATCACTTCTTAAACGATGTGAAAGAAGATTTTGAAATTTGGCGTAATCATGAAAACCTCGTGAGCAAGGCAAGAGAATTGATGGTGATTCCAAGCTTGTCGCTTTACGATTTGATCGAGATGCGACCCGACGAGGCCAAGCGACTGCTCACGCATAAGGACTACTACAAGTTCGTGGCTTCAAGAGAATTTTGGGAGCTGCCTGAAGAATTTCGCAAAGCGTGTTTGCCGGAACTTTGCGAAAAAATGTGTAGAAACTTTTTCTGGCGTTGGACATTGGAGCCTTTCTTGGAGTTTACGCATCGCCGTTTGCCGATTCTCTGCTGCGAACAAGTCATGAAGAATCTGACAAATGGGGATTTGCATATCATATTTGATATAGTAGAAATCTATGGAGATGACGATGAGATCGAAGATATCTGATACTGTTTGCAAAGGAATTTTCATTTTCTTTTTTAAATTTCCTAAATCTTAGTTTTTTTATTTTTGCGAATTTATATGCAGTGATTATATTTTATGAAGAATTCTTGAAGAATTTTACATTCACTTTATTAATGATTTTAAAATATTTTTGTTACTGCATGATTATTTTTATGTATATCATACAACAATTCGATTAGATAAAAATAAAATAAATGAGATGAGTCGTATGCTCAATTATATGTCAATTAAAAAAAAGAAATTAATTGAATCTCTATAATTATTTTAAAAAACCTCAACCATAATTATCAACAAATTTAAAACCTTTGAAAGTAATTTTAAACAAATGTAGACAAGAAGAAAACACGTCTTTTCCGAGGCACGTAGCGCACAGGCTAGTACGAACATCTCAGCGAGCGACTATAATTAGACGAAAGAAAATCCTTTAAATGGTCTTGAACGCGAAAGAAACAAATCACGATTAGATTTCAATTCTTCTTACGTATAATAGGTATACATTCTCGATGTATTTCGGAGGCCCAGAGTGTAACACGCGTGATGACATTATTACCAACGTTTTTATATGGGGGCACGGCTGAGCGCACAGCAGCATAGCAATCAACGTCGTTTCAAAACTTCGCATCTCGCTTTGTGTATCGCCGCGATATGTTTACGTTTAAATGCTTGTGTTGGCTGCAGGACTCAACTTGTTTCATTACGAAACCGCCGCTCATATGTTGGCACTATGTATATGCTGCTGCGCGGCCGCATATCGCTCGGCTCAGTTTAGCCTGTCAGTACACGTTACGACGCTGCAGCGTAAACTTCAATGAAAGATAGCATCGAGAGAAAATCAATTTCGTGAATAATAAAAGTTATTGTGTTTCTGTGTGAGTGTGTAGGACGATGTTTAATTTCAATTGGCGTCCGTTGGGTCGGATTCGTGGAGCGGAAAAAAGGGATGACTATGATTTCTACGACATGTGCCATAGAAAGTTAAACAGTTTGAAGAGCATGCGAGAAAAGGTCAATTGGGAGATTGAAGATGAGCGACGTGAATTTCTCAGGCAACTTTACCCTGTAATCGACGGTTGGAATGATCTACTTCCAGATCTCCGAGACATTTTTAGTGGTGAAGAAATTGAATGGCTTCTTTCAGAAGATATGAATAACTCGAAAGAATCCGACCCCTATGATGAGAAAACTCCGTTTATTGACTTTGTGATCGACACCGGTTACAAGGACGAACTTGAAGTAGATAACAATCGCAAGCCATCATCGCGTCGCACAACACCAGTGCATCATGCGGCTAAGCACAAATATTACCTCACCACCCGATTCGATGTGAACTATACCGACGAACTTGGATTATCGCATTTTCACGTGGCCTGCATGTACAACATGAACGACGTGATCGAGAAATTCCTCGACTTTGGACTGGATCCCAACTGCATTCCTAAAGAATCAATCGAGAGCTCAGTTTATCCACCGTTGCATTTGGCTCTGGGTATGGGTGACAGCTGGATGACCGAACTGTTGCTGAAACATGGTGCCGATCCAAACTTACCCAACAAGGATGGATTGACCCCTCTGCACATTATTTGTCGGCAAGAGTATAGTCGTGATTTGGCAGAGATATTTTTTGCGATAAATGACGACATCCAGCAGATGTTGCAAGTCGATGCTCCAGACAAGTTGGGTCGGACACCCCTTCAATGGGCTGTGGCGAATATTAAGTCACATACGGTCGATGTACTTCTTGATCGTGATGCTGATCTAGGTAGCTTCGTTTTTCCCACGGAGAGTCATTTCGACGAGTACTTTAAATAGGCGAGCGGGAGGTTACCCAAAAAACAGGGTTGACCGACCACGGAGAGGGGAGTGGGTAAACGACATGATTCCTTACGTATTTTTCGTCGCTGAATCCGAATATGAAATTTATTTTACTCTAAAATGACAGCGTCATGGAGAAAAACGCGATTTTCATGAAAATCGCGGTATAATGAATTTCTCATTTTTTCGAGTTCAACTCGCTGTAACTTTTTTTGTAGTAAATATTTTTTGATGAAATTTTAACAGCATATTCTAGCACTCAAAAGGAAGAAAATAGCGTCAAGCAGGTGTCGAAAAGTTTATTAGAACCGAAGATATGATTTTTTGAACATAAAAAACGCGAATTCATGAATTCTTAACTTCGGATTAAAAAGTTGAGTGACGAAATTTCGAAATTCAAAATATAAACTTCACAGCACTAAAATATATAGTATAAGGAAGTTTTTGGTAAAATTTGAGATCAAAATATCAATTAGGGAAGAAATGGCAAGAGTTTCAATATTAGCGCACCGAGCGCGCGCTCGCCGCGCGTGCAGCGCAGCAGCCGCCTCGCCGGCTAGCGTTGCGCGTTGGCCCGTGTAATGGTGCATACAGTTTAATAATTAATATATGAAATCCATTTAATTGTTTTTATTGAACATATGGTCAAATCTCAAAATAAAATTCCGTTTCGTTAACAAAAAAAGGTGAAATTTTTTTTTGCGTGCCCAGTGGCCCGGACCCCCGCAAATTCTTCATAGGACCTCCAGGAGTGAAAAAAAACGCGTGAACATGAAATTTGTAAATAGTTAGTTTTTTTTGGGTCACTTTTGTGTTTTAGATGCCGAAAAGCCATCTTTTCACGCAAATACGACTTATTGCTCGATTTCCAAGTCGTTGAAAAAGTATAAAAAATCATCTAAAAATTTTAACTGACCACTGTATTCGATAGGAAATTTCCTCAGCTTTCCGATGGTACTATTTGATTTTCCGAAATATCCAAATTTCACCACGAAAATCGCCATCAAACATTGAGGGCTAAATATGTCGAAAAATGTAGTACGGAAAAAGTGCTTTCTATGGCTTATTTTTGATTTTTCCTTGGGAAAATGAAATTAATCGGAAAATCCAACTGCACCATGAGAAAGCTGAGGAAATTTCCTATCGAATACAGTGGTCAGTTAAAATTTTTAGATGATTTTTTATACTTTTTCAACGACTTGGAAATCGAGCAATAAGTCGTATTTGCGTGAAAAGATGGCTTTTCGGCATCTAAAACACAAAAGTGACCCAAAAAAAACTAACTATTTACAAATTTCATGTTCACGCGTTTTTTTTCACTCCTGGAGGTCCTATGAAGAATTTGCGGGGGTCCGGGCCACTGGGCACGCAAAAAAAAATTTCACCTTTTTTTGTTAACGAAACGGAATTTTATTTTGAGATTTGACCATATGTTCAATAAAAACAATTAAATGGATTTCATATATTAATTATTAAACTGTATGCACCATTACACGGGCCAACGCGCAACGCTAGCCGGCGAGGCGGCTGCTGCGCTGCACGCGCGGCGAGCGCGCGCTCGGTGCGCTAATATTGAAACTCTTGCCATTTCTTCCCTAATTGATATTTTGATCTCAAATTTTACCAAAAACTTCCTTATACTATATATTTTAGTGCTGTGAAGTTTATATTTTGAATTTCGAAATTTCGTCACTCAACTTTTTAATCCGAAGTTAAGAATTCATGAATTCGCGTTTTTTATGTTCAAAAAATCATATCTTCGGTTCTAATAAACTTTTCGACACCTGCTTGACGCTATTTTCTTCCTTTTGAGTGCTAGAATATGCTGTTAAAATTTCATCAAAAAATATTTACTACAAAAAAAGTTACAGCGAGTTGAACTCGAAAAAATGAGAAATTCATTATACCGCGATTTTCATGAAAATCGCGTTTTTCTCCATGACGCTGTCATTTTAGAGTAAAATAAATTTCATATTCGGATTCAGCGACGAAAAATACGTAAGGAATCATGTCGTTTACCCACTCCCCTCTCCGTGGTCGGTATGTCCCTTTTCTAAGCGACTTTTTGGCAACCTCCCGCTCGCCTAAAAGTATTAGCAGACATGGATGGGGAAGAGATTATTAAATTTGATCTGGCATCTGGTATGCTAGAAGTCGTAAAACGCCTCGATAAAAGAGGATACGAACTAGATCAAAGCGACGTCATAACGATCATGAAATTATACAACAAGTACAAACTGTTTGAAAAGTTTTTGGATTTCGATAAAAGTTGGTATAACGTGGAGCGATTCACAGACAGAGCGAAAACAAAGATTCTTTGCCGAGGTCTGACGCTTTACGATCTCGTTCGATTACCACCGGAAAAGGCATCGAAACTGCTCGTGTATTATGAGGACAACCACGAGTTCGTACGCAAATCTTGTTATTGGGAGTTCGACGAAGAAAGAGGACCACGCGAAGCGTACGTATCGTACCTGTGCAACGTGCTATCGAGAGGATTTTGCAAGCGATGGGCGCTGGAATTTTTCCTAACGTTGACTAGCTATCGATTGCCGATTCTCTGCTGCGATAAAATCATAAATTATCTGATGGAAGAGGATTGGTTGAGAGTATGCCTGGCTACAGAAAACATGTGATACTGCTCGAGAACTCTTTTTTTTAGACTCTCAAAAAATTTTTTCTTTTACTATTTTTCTAGTTTTTATGATTATCATTTTTTAAACAAGCATCTCAAGGAAACTCATGTTCACTTCTATAAAAGTAATGTAAGAAAATATATTTGTAATGTAAACGATTATTATTATGTATAACATATCAACATTCTATTACAAAAAAAACCGTTGACTCGAATATAAAGCATTTGAGTAACTATAATTGAATTTCTATAATTATTTTAAAAAACCTCAGCCTTCCCTATCAATATTTTTGAGAATTTGAAGTAATTATCAATTAAATAAGGATTCGAAGAAACGCTTCATGTAAAAAAATAATTGATTATGAACTTGTATAAACAAAATATTTTTCCCTCTCTCAATGATTTTAGATTTTGTCAAATCTATCCTATCACAGATTATTGAATCATTATAAAAATGATATCTTAGCAAGGGCTTGTTAAAATCTTAAAAAATGCTTCTAATCCACGTTTGCTCCGGTACATTACGCTTGTTCCTGTTAATGAGAAAAAAAACTGCTGTTATCCACCAATCGAATAGCATATCAACGAACACTGCTCAAAACTTGTGTGGTTTATAGCTTCGCTAGTGACTCAATGTGTATGTGGCGGGACATCGGCGCGATACTTGGCAGTGTCTCGCCAGTCGCCGCATACAATACTTAGTCTTCTATAGTTCATGTCGGTCTGTTCAGTACACGTTACGACGTTGCAGCGTAAACACAACATAGGCAGTAGTGATTCTCGTGAAAAAGTAAAATTATTTCCAGTCATAAGCAATTGTGTTTTTTTCAGTGCGTAGAATAAAGGCCGACGACGAAAAGTTTTTGAATAAATTGAAAATTTGGCGAGAAAAAATCGATTGGAAGATCGAAACACAGCGTTATCAATTGTTACTCAAACTTTATCCTGTGATCAGACGCTGGTGGAGACAAAAACTTCCAAATCTCCGAGATATCTTTCGACCTGAAGAGATTGAATGGATCATCGTAGAGGAATTGCAAAGAGTAGACGATTCCGACCTACTCGTCGATGAATTAATTCCATTCGTCGACTTTGTAAACAAGACCGGTTACAAGGACGTACCCGAAGTTGATGAAGACGGTCAGCCATTGTCGCGTCGCACTACACCGGTGCATCGCGCGTCTACAGGCTACATCTCAAGCGTATTCATCCCAGAGATTTTTAAAATTTACAACGGATGCGAGGTGAACTACATCGACGAACGAGGCATCACGCATTTCTATTTGGCCTGTAAGTATGGCTGTTACGAAGAAGTGAAGAAATTCCTCGAGTTCGGGCTTGATCCCAATCGCCTCGCGCGGGACACGGATTTGAGTTTGATCGATCCGCCGCTGCACTTGGCTGCGCATAACAAAAACAGGGACGTGTTCCAAGTACTGCTGAGACGCGGCGCCGACCCTAATTTGGTCGACAAGAACGGCTCGACTGCTCTGCACATTGTTTGTGATAGTGGCTACGTTGACTCTTTTATGGTGGAGATGTTATTCCTGCTCAGCAACGAAAAATATCAGCCATTGCTGATCGACGCCCGAGACGATTTGGGCAGGACACCACTTAAATTAGCTGTGATGAATCTCGCATCGTATGTAGTCGATTTACTCTTGAATCGTGGTGCTGATCTATCTGACTTTGTTTTTCCCACAGAGGAGCTCTTCAACGGATACTTGGATAGACTTAAAGGCGATGTTGAAGAGCACATTAAATTGAAACTAGTGTCTGGTATGCTTTCGATTGTCATGTACCTTGAGAATAAAGAATACGAATTGAACCGAAGCGACGTCATCACGATCATAAAACTGTTCACTGAGCATAAAGTGTTCAAGAAGTTGACGAATCTTGACTACTCTTGGTGTGATGACGAGGAGTTCACGAAGGAAGCAAAAAAGAAAATGTTGTGTCCAGATCTGTCGCTCTACGACCTGGTTCAATTACCACCCGAAGAGGCGTATAAATTACTCATATATTTTACGGACTACCATGAATTCGTAGGTGAGTCTTGTTATTGGACACTCCCCGAAAAAGGACCTGGCCAAGCTTATGCTACGTATCTGTGCGAGGTGATGGCGAGAGAATTTAGCAAGCAATGGGCCCTGGAATTTTTCTTTACGCTGACCCACCATCAGTTGCCAATTATCTGCTGTGAAAAAATCATCGAGCAGCTTACGAATGAGGATTTAATGAAAATATGTCTGGCAACAGAAATTGTTCCAGAAGAGTAGAACAAAAACATGTAATGCTGTTCGCAAACGTATTTTTTGTAGAATCTTAATTGTTTTTATTACTATTTTTAAGTTCCTGTGATTATTCAATATTATTTTTTACTTTTATTTTTTATTTTCTGTATTATTTTTTTTAATGTAAACGGTCACTTTTATAGAATAAAAATATAATTACATGACAATAAAGTTAACGAGAAAAATTGTACACTCGAGTATACAGCATTTAAGCAATTGAATTTCCATAATTCATTTATAAAACCTCAACCTTATTTATCAATATGTTTATGATAAAGAATAAAGACGAGTAATTGAATTATTATGATATTTTACGAAAGTATCGATAAAGTTGTGCGAATTTTATACGAGTAAAAGATATGAAAAAATTATAAAAAAATAATGTTAGTTGGCGGGAGTCAGCACGGCACACAGCATTGGTCAACTGCGTTCAAAACGTCGCATTACCGCTTTGTTTTGCTTGGCCACGCGACTCGACTTACGACTACGTCAAAGTTTCGAGAAAACTGACACTGCACGAACGAGGCCGGCGCGCACAGTCAATAGTTAGCAACGACGCGCCGCGTGTCGTTTAGCTCGACTCAGCTCGTTCAGTACACGTTACGACGCCGCAGCGTCAACAACAAAAGATCGAATTTATTGCAGCTGGCGATTCTCGTGAAAAAGAACGGATTTTATGAACAATAAGTGATTGTGTATTTGTGTGAAGGCGTGAAACAATGACTGACGAAAATATCAATGGACGTTCCAATTCCGATGATAATTTGAACGACGGTGATGCTTCATCGGATGAAAACGGGTTGGTTCGAGCAAAATTTAAAATATTAAAAATAATGCGAGAAGCCGTCAACTGGGAGATCGAAGACGAGCGTCGCGAATTTTTCAATAAACTTAAAGTTTTAATCAGCGACTGGCACGACCAACTTCCAAACCTCAAAGACATTTTTCGACGCGAAGAGATCGATTGGCTTCTCACGGAGTTCGTAAAGACCGACGACGGCAGGTACAAGCCCCTTACGCTCGTCGATTTTGTGAGTAAAACCGATTACAAGGACGAGCCCGACTTGGATACGGACGGCAAGCCATTGTCCCGTCGCACGACGCCTCTGCATCATACGGCAAAAATTAAACCCGGCCCTTTATCCAGATGGGATGACATCGTCAGCGATCTTTTTCGAATCTACGACAGATTCGACGTGAATTACATGGACGAGAGCGGAGTTACTCATTTTCACGTGGCCTGCAAGTACGGCTGCTTCGAAGAGGTACGCGAGTTTCTCGAATCGGGGCTGGATCCCGATTGCCACGCGCAAGAATCGGACCCGAAGTGCTACGATCCGCCGCTGCACTTGTGTCTCGAGAACCAAACCTTGGGCGTGATGAAGATGCTGCTGAGATACGGCGCCGACGTCAACGTGACCAACGGAGACGGAATGACCGCGCTGCATATCATTTCCGTCAGAAGCCTCGACTTGATGTTCGCGTCGAAACTCTTGTTCGAAAACGAAGACGACTACGAAGTGGTGAAGGTCGACGCGAAAGACAACTTGGGCCGGACGCCGCTTCACTGTGCCGTGGCGTATCTCCGACCGGACATGATCGACGTACTCGTGTATCATGGTGCAAAATTGTCGAACTTCGTTTTTCCAACCGTTGATCAATTCCACGCCGCCTTTGAAACATTCGCGTTCGAAGGGTTTGCGATCAACTTGGAACTAACGTGCGCTGTGCTGGAAGTCGTCGAGCGCCTCGAAGCAAGAGGATACGAGCTGGTTCGAAGCGACGCCACGACCATCATGATAACGTTGCGTCGGCACTTACTGCTCGATGTGTCGGAGAATCATCAATTTTGGCGTAAGTTTGAAAAATTCGTGAACATGGCCAAAGAATTGATGATGAAATCGAGCTTGTCGCTTTACGATTTGCTCGAGTTGCGACCCAAAGAGGCCAAGCAATTGTTCAAGCACACGGATTACTTGAAGTTCACGGGCTCGAAAAAATTGAAGAAGCTTCCGAGGGAATTTCGCGCGGCCTGCGTGACGCAACTGTGCGAACAAATGTGTCGAGTATTTTTCCAGCGATGGACACTGGAACCTTTCCTGGAGCTGACGCGTCGCCGTTTGCCGGTTCTTTGCTGCGAAATGATTCTCGAGCATCTCGTAAACGAAGATTTGTTGAGTGTGTGCCAGGCAGGAGAAATCGTTTCGAACGAACAGAGCAGAAATATGTGATGCCGTTCGCGAAGAAATTTTCATTTTTTATTTTTGTAAACTTCTCCAAGCATTAATAAAGTTAGAATATTTTTGTCAGTATACTATTATTTTTATTTGTGTATCATATACAAATTGTGTTAACTAAGAATTCATTCATTAAAATAAATCGCACACACGAGTTAAGAAATTAATTTAATTTCTATAATTATTTTAGGAACCCTAAACTCTGCTTATCGGTAATTTTGCAATTAATATCAAAAAGACATGTAGAGTAGAAAAATTATTTCTCATCCATATTAAAATAGATAAAAAAGGTATATATTTTTATATTACCGTCAATATTCACTCATTTGACGTATTTTTTTCATTTGTATAATGATATACGAATGTGGAATTGTAATGCAGTGCGAAAATAAATAGTGTACTTTTTCCCACTCTAACCTAAAATACGCAACTTTGCCGCTAATTTTAGGCTCTCGTAGGAAAAAATAGTATCTCAAACTGGTGCAGATATGGTTTTTTAACAAAACTCGTTACAGCACTCGCCTTCGGCTCGTGCTATAATCCCTCGTTTTGCTAAAAAACCATATGTGCACCCGTTGAGAAATATACTATTTTTCCACTGTCACGAAAAAAATCAAAGGTACAATTAATGTATTCGGCTGCAAATTCGTCTTGGTATTTTAATATTCGGCGTAGCTTGCAAAGTTTTCTAAAACGGTATGATGAGGCTTGTTGTAGCGCCGCATGTCTCTCAGCTTAGTTCAGGCCGTTCAGTGCACGTTACTATGACGCAGCGCAAATAGAGGAAGATCGCGCAGACTGCAGTCGGTGAATTTTGTGTAATAAGAAACAAATATTAAAAATTATTAGCGATCGTGTTTATGTGTGTGCAGAACAATGGCTGACGACGATTTTAACGAAGACGATACTTTATCCTATGATGAAAGCTACGATTTCGAGACTGACCGGGAAAAATTGGAACGATTGAAGAGCATGCGACAGAACGTCAACTGGGAGATCGAAGACGAGCGACGAACCTTTTTCCATGATCTCAAAGATTTACTCGAAGACTGGTATGAGGAACTTCCAAATCTCCGAGAAATTTTTCGACGGGAAGAAATGGACTGGCTTCTCACGGAGTTCGTTAAAACCCATGACGGCAAGTCACAGACGCATCCACTCCTTCAGTTTGTGGTTAGTAGTGGCTACAGAGACGAACCCCAATTGGGCACAGACGGCAAGCCGTCCGCACGTCGCACAACACCACTGCATCATTTGTTCAAATTCTGCACATGTCCCTTCTCGAACGGTGTGGCCCAAGATCTGTTTCGAATTTACAACAGATTCGACGTGAACTACACCGACGAGCGAGGCCGTACTCATTTTCACGCGGCCTGTATGTATGGCTGTGACTATGCGGTAGAGACGTTTCTCGATCTCGGGCTTGATCTTAATCGGCTCGAACAAGATACGGACTTGACTTTAATCGATCCGCCGCTGCACTTGGCTCTGGGTAACCAAAACAAGGCAGTGTTCAAATTGCTGTTGAAGCATGACGCCGACCCAAATTCGGCCAATCAATATGGAGATACTCCTCTGCATTTGATTTCCAGATGTGGATGGTTGATTGAATTTGAAAAAATATTATTTGACATCAGTGATGAAAAAAATCAGACAGTACAAGTCGATGCCCGAAATAACAATGGACATATACCTCTGTATCTAGCTGTGGCCCATTTTCGACCAACAACAGTCGAACTACTCTTGAATCGGGGCGCCGATATGTCAAATTTCGCTTTTCCCGAAGGATGCTTTGAAGACGATGAACCGTTTGATTACGAAGAATACGATTCTAATTTAGTAATGGCATATCGTGTGCTGGAGGTCATCGAAATCATCGAAAAAAGAGGATATGAACTAAATAGAAAAGATGGTATCAGGTTCACATTTTTAATATATCATTACTTATTAAACGATGTGAAAGAAGATCGTGAATTTTGGCGTAGACATGAGAAGCTCGTGGACGAAGCAAAAAAATTGATGGTAATCCCGAGCTTGTCGCTTTACGATTTAATCGAGATGCGACCCGACGAGGCCAAGCGACTGCTCACGCATAAGGACTACTACGAGTTCGTGACTTCGAATGAATTTATGCTGTTTCCCCGAAAATTTCGTGAGGATTGTTTGCCGCAACTGTGCGAAAAAATGTGTAGAAACTTTTTCTGGCGATGGGCATTGGAGAATTTCTCGGAGTTTACGCATCAACGGCTACCGATTCTTTGCTGTGAAATAATCATGAAAAATCTGACGAATGAGGATTTGTTCACCATATTCGAAATAGTCGAATACTTTGGAGATGATGAGATCGTAGATTTTCCATTTTTTTAATCCGAGTGATTATTTTCTACGCGAGAATCTCGAGGAATTTCATGTTCGCTTCTGCATTCATAATGTTCAAATATTTTTGTCACCGCACGATTGTTTTTATGTGTATCTTGTGAAAATTGTATTACACGAAAATGAAATTAAAGAGATAATTGTAGAAATGTAATATATCTATGAGACTCTTCCATTTTACTCAAGAAATTTCAGCGACATACTTCGCGTGGTCGAACTTGCATACACGTATTTTCTCGAGCAAATTAAAACTTCAGTCACGCATGTGCTTTGATTCCTATCAATGCAATATGATAATATTTTTATGATAGTTGAAGGCGCACGGCTTTGCGCGCAGCATCGGTGGTCATCGCCGTTCAAATACGTATAATATATCTCGCTTTGCGTTGTGCGTCGCACATTTGATGTTGCTTGGTTGCGCCGCGCGCGTCTCTGTTGGACCATATTATATTCCATTCGTTTCGAGACTGTGCGGCAACTCGGCAAGTGAGACGCAGGCATCTGTCAGTGTCGCGCCGCATGTCGAGTGGTTCAGTTCGGCTCGCAGTCTGCTATTGCTGTTCGTTCCGCATACTCAAACGCGTTACGACACCGCAGCCTGTGACATACAAAAAAAAAAAGAACAGATATCGAGAATAAGTGATTGTGTTGTTGTGCGAGTGCGTGGAACAATGTCCGACGACGGCGTAAATTCTGATTCCGATATCAGCGATTTTCCTCATTATCAATTGGGCCTCTATTTGGAGACGGCCGAAGAGAAGTTAAAAAAATTGAAGCGCTTCCGAGAAATGGCCGATTGGGAGATCGAAGACGAGCGACAGGCCGTTTTCGAGTATCTCCAAAGTTTGATCATGGGTTGGCGTCGAGAACTTCCGGATCTCCGTGAGATTTTTCGACGGGAAGAAATGGATTGGCTTCTCTCCGAGTTCATCAAATCCGACTATTACAAACTCGACGAAGAAAATCTCATTCACTTTGTGCTCGATACCGGCTACAAGGACGAGGCCGATAAAGCGGCCAAGCCATCGGCGCGTCGCACCACACCGGTACATCTGATGCTCGAACACGAGAACAGCTTCATCATCGACAAACTCTTTCGAATATACGACAGGTTCGACGTGAACTACGTCGACGAGCGCGGCCTCACGCACTTTCATGTGGCCTGCGCTTATGGCTGCGAAGACGTCGTTCGAAAATTCCTCGAGCTCGGCCAGGATCCCGACTGTCTCGGCGGGGAGTCGGACGCGAACTACGACGATCCGCCGCTGCATTTAGCCCTGACTTCCGAGCACAAGAAGGTGTTCTCGTTGCTGCTGCAAAGCGGCGCCGACCCGAATCGGACCAACGTCGACGAAATGACGGCTCTGCACTTGATTTGCCAGAAAAGTTACGAGACCGAGTGGGCAGAGATGTTATTCGACGGCAAACAACAACGGGCGGTGATAATCGACGCCCGGGACAAATTGGGACGGACACCGCTGCAAATAGCCGTTACGAATATCTGTCCGCATCTAGTTCGTCTGCTCTTGGATCGTGGCGCCGATCTGTCCGGCTTTGTCTTCCCAACCGAGAGTCACTTCGACGCAACATTTCTATTTCATAAATGTCTATTTAAGTGGGGATTTCATAAATTACAATTAGCGTCCGACGCGCTGGTCATCATTGAGCTGCTCGAAAAAAAGGGATACGAACTGGCTCGAAGCGACGCCGTGACGATCATGAAAGCGTTAATCGAGCACTCGTTCTTCGATAAAGCAGAGGAAATCGAGTTATGGCGCAGAGACGAAGATTTTATGAGTAAGGCGAAAGAAATCATGATTATTCCGAGCTCGTCGCTTTACGATTCGATCGAGATGCGACCGGAAAAAGCCAAGAAACAACTCATCGATCAAGACTATTTCAAGCTCGCTTTCTGCACAACATGGGCGGAGCTCGCCGAAGAAATTCGCGAGCCGTGCGTCGCGCACCTGTGCGAGAAAATATGGCGAGGATTTTACCAGCGATGGGCGCTGAAACCTTTGATGAAACTCACGGGTCAACGATTGCCGATTCTCTGCTGCGAACATATCATGAAGAAGCTCGAGAACGAGGATGTGTTGGGAATATGCCTGGCAGGTGAAATCGTTGAAAATGAGACAAACTAAGATATTTACTGTTCATAAAAGTGTTTTTTTGGAGAGACGTCAAATAATTTAATGTTTGTTTTTATAAGTTTGTAAAGTCATTATGATGTAACGAATAATGTGGTATCACTGAGAAATAAAATGTATCGAATGAAAATTGTATCACATGGAAATAAATAAATCGTACACTTTTAGTATGCGGCAATGTAGCAACAGATCGATTATATGTTATTCTTTCTTAATAACCTAACCTAACGTACTATGACGATGCGAAAACAACAAAAATAATACGCTTTTTGTACAATCCATAAGTCAATTGCAAAAAGCAGCAACAGTGTATTTATCAGGAAAATAATGAAATCCAAACGCCAGCTTCATGATGCGCGAAAAAAATTTAAGACTATAAGGTGTTGTACAGTTGAAGGGACGTCTTAGCGCATAGCATCGGTCAATGACGTTAAATACGTCACATCTCGCTTTGCACTGCGCGGCACATTGTTTACTACGTAACCTGTATTTTCTGCGCGAGCGACCACATCGAGTGTAGTGAGTTCAATTCAGATCAGTCTGCGCTCAGCGCTCTGTCGTTGCTGTCGTTTTACTTGGAAGTCAAACGTATCACGACTTCCGCGATTTACGCCACGGTAACATAAACGGAGAATAATAAGATCGCATCGTCTGCAGCTAGTTAATTTTCGTGAAAAAGAATAAGTTTCACCGATTCAAAGTTACAGTTTCTCTGTGTAAGTGTTCAATAACAATGTCCGACGACGATTTCGTTGCGTATCCCAATTTCGATGTGCATTCCGATTTCGACGATAGTTCTTGCGACGAGGATAGTTCTTACGATGGAAGTTTCGATTTCGAGTCAAGCGACGAAAAATGGACACGATTGAAGAGCATGCGAGAAGAGCTCAACTGGGAGATCGAGGCCGATCGACGTAAATTTTTCAAAAAATTCAGAGCTTTGATCAAAGGTTGGCACGAAGATAGTGAAGTTTTAGACCTTAAAGATATTTTTCGACGAGAAGAGATCGATTGGCTTCTCATCGAGGACATGAAGTCCCAAAAGAAATTCAATATTAGCTGCAGAGAATTTTCTCTCATCTACTTCGTGCTTGACACCGGCTACACAGACCAACCCGAGCAAGGCGGCGAGCCGTCGTCAATGCTGCGCACCACACCATTGCATTATGCGTCTCGAAACCTTCTCCCCGAGATCATCAATGACCTGTTCGATATTTATCAATACGACGTCAATTACAGCGACGAATCGGGTTTCACGCATTTTCATGCGGCCTGCTCCGAAGGCCATTACGACTCCGTCAAGAAATTCCTCGAGCTCGGCCGGGTGGATATCGATAGTCCCGTGCCGAAAACAGGCGAATCGCCGCTGCACTTGGCTCTGAAAAGCGAAAAGAGCGAGGTGTTCAGGCTGCTGCTGCTGAGTGGCGCCGATCCAAATTCGACCAACGCCGACGGAACGACTTGTCTGCACGACATCAGCAAGGAGGGATACCAGGCTGATTTGGCGGAGATTTTATTGGAGAGAAACGACGAGGGCGAGCTGAGGTACGCGGTGCAAGTCGACGCCCGGGACAAGTCAGGCCGGACGCCGCTGCAAGTGGCCGTGGCGCATGTCTTTCCGGAACTGGTCCGTTTGCTCTTGGATCGTGGCGCCGATCTATCTAACTTCGTTTTTCCGACCGAGTGTCACTTCGACAAAGGATTCGATCTTTCGCGTGTACTGCTCGCGGGTATCGATGAATTACAAATAACAACTGACGCACTGGTTATCGTCGAGCAGCTCGAGCAAAAAGGGTACGAACTGGCTCGAAGCGACGCCGTGACGATGATGAAAACATTGGTAAAACACAGGTTATTCGAAAAAGCAGAGCAAATTGAGTTTTGGCGCAAAGATGAAGATTTCGTGAGCATGGCGAAAGATATAATGTTAATTCCGAGCTCGTCGCTTTACGATTCGATCCAGATGCGACCCGAAAAGGCAAAGAAACAACTAACGAATCATCACTATTTCAAGTTCCTAGTCTGGGAAGATTGGGAGGAGCTCAGCGATGAAATGGCTGAGACGTGTGTTGCGCACCTGTCCGAGAAAATATGGGAAAGATTTTTCCAACAATGGACGTTGGAACCTCTGATGAAAATCACGAAATTGCCGATTCTCTGCTGCGAAAAAATCGTGGAGAACCTCATGAACAAGGATTTACTGAAAATATGCTTGGCAGATGAAATCGTCCCTGATAAGAACTAAAATATTTGTGCTGTTAGCAAGAGTGTTTTATTTTTTTATTGGACTATAATAATGAGTTTTTTTACTATTTTTCAAGTTTTAATAGTTATTATTACCTAGGAATTTTATTTTATTGTTCATTTTTTCATGAAAATGGTTGAAATGTTTTTGTTGATGTACATGATTATCATTGAGAATATCGAATAAAAATTGTATGACATGGAAATAAAATTGGCAAAATAAATCTTACACTAAATCATATAGCATTAAAGCAATAAATTGATCTCAAACTATTTTTAAATACTTAACCTTGAAATACTTGGATAACTCTTTACACCCTATAATTTTACTAAATAAAATTATTCATTGAATTGTTGATTAATCATTAATACACTTTTGAATAGACAATTTTTTTTCTCTTTAGGGCTTGGTAAAAACGTGCGAATTTTTATATAAATTATAGATATCACAGGTCACATAGTTATGTGCGTATATTGACATAAAAAATTATTCATAC